GATTTTTCGTACCATAAAGCATTTTTCATAATCATTTATAATTAGGAAGAATCAAACAAAAACATAGCGCATGAAATAGTGATAGATCAGACAGGTTTATCTTATTGTAAGTACGAAATTATTTTATCATTAAGAGTTCGGGTTATATGTACCTCAAATTAGTTAGATTTCCAAGAGACAAATTTAAAGTATCTAGAAGTAAGTTTAATTAGCGAAATCAGTGATAAAACTTATTTATCACTTAAAGTTCTCATAGTCTCATTTGTGGAATTAGATTGTATGTACAACCTAATCTATGAAACTTGGATAACACCGAATCATTTATGGTTCGGTTTAGTTTGAGTAAATAAAGTACTGCTAAAGAAAATCCATCCACATTTAATGATATTTAGCTCCATTTTGAGCACCACTAGGTCACTTTATTGAAGTCCATACTGATGCAGTTTTACACATTGTTCAGCTCATAATAGGAGAAAGAATGAACTTCTTTAAAGCAATCTGCATACAGAAGAGGCCTACGTGTACAGAAGCAATCGCAAATGTCATTTATGATGACCAAAATGACCAAGGGACCTAAGATACCACCTAGTATTACTCCCGGTTTTAACTATGACAACATCAGACAATGAGAATATTATTTTGACTATTTGGTAATGATGAGTGAGAAAAGGATTAAACCAAGTATGCAGAGGGTTTCTTGCACCATGCGATGTGAGTCTGTTCATAAGAAGCCGCTTGTTTATCACATCGAAATCAATGTAAGATGGAGTTTAAAGAAACTCCAAGCTGGAAATCAAACATGAGAACTCTTTTATAGCTTCTCGGTAAATACAGGTTATTTTCCCATACCGACGTCAATGTAAATTTGAGTAATGTAGACTTTTGATCATCATCAGAGTACTCAGTGTTTGTGGTCAGTGAATTATTGAGAACTGATATGACTTACAAATATGGATCTGTTGGTTGTAGCACTTCACATCTATTTGAGGTTGCATGCATTTGATTTTATGAAGCCCTTTTGATTAACTTATTTAACAGACAGTCAGTCGTACAGCAATAACTTATCTGTATCATTGTGCTTTTATTATTGTCGCGTTCGTATGAGCAGGTGTGATGAAGCATTGTTTACCGCCTACACACATATTCATTCTACTCGCTTTAATGTTAGCCGCCTAAATAATTCGATAACTTATTCATTCTCCTATGTATATACACGTACATTTTAATTCGATTCGCTCACTCGCATATCACTTTTGCGTCGTATACCTGTAGTTTTGTGTTGTGTGTGGTGTCGTAATAAGCGTAACTAACGCTTCGTATTCGTCTTTTCATTTATACACCGTTCGAACTTGTAACTCAGAGACTGAGAATCTAGCATACGAATCACTGCGCCACATTTATAAAATTTGATTGTTGAACAAGGAACCCTCGAAATTTCGGTCAATATTGTTAATCTTCAACAAAGATTTAGTTTTTATTGCTTTAAAACTTTGAAAATCAATCAAATAATTTTTTTCACTCATTGGTGTGTCAAACTAAGACACGTCCTTATGTAAATACTCTACAAAGTTAATTTAGAGAATGAACTTATCTTATTATTTCAATAACAACAAATTCTAATTTCTGTTCAGTAGGTTATTAGTGAATTTCATGAACTTGAAAGGATTAGTTGTTGGATTATGAAAAGTTCAAGTATTCTTTATTTATGATAAACATTAACTGTTCTACAGATATAATTTAAGTGATCAATAGTTCCAGTTTGTTCATTTAACTACTACTTAAGGTATTGAGCTGGGTAATTTTAGGCTTTCGTCAATGGATATAGGCGTTAATAAAGAACTGGGTCGGATCAGACTTATTAGTTCATTACGTCAATACGTGTTACTTCTGAACGGTGAAGTTTATATACATGGACTTAGATAATTAGGTTAGCGATTTTAAGCGAGTTAGTTTTCTAGGGATGGGGTCGCCAAAACCAACCACCCTCCTTCCCTCGGGCTTTGGACCAGCAGTAGCCCCGGAGGGGCTCCAGGCGGAGTTTATAGATCACTGTGATTGTCACAAGATGACTTTTGTCCTTTCTTATAAATTGGGACGATCAGCAATTGAGACCAGTTTGATGGGATAACACTCAGTTTACAAATCCTACCCAGTATCTCAGTCAACCTAACTACCGAAACTGGACCGCCATCTCTAAAAATGCCAGGAGTCAGACTATCCGGACCCGCTGCTCTCCCTCGCATCAGATTTCTTATAGCTATCTCAGCTGCATAGAGTCGGATAACTTACGTCAATCTGTCATTGAGGTTGACTAGGGATCGTGGGTAACCGGTTGAACTGATCCCTAGTGTTCTGCCCATCAATCAAATCTCCTGCATTGAAAATGGATAATGAGCCTATCCTTTTCTGAGATAGTCTCGCTTACAGTCAGATTCCTAATACCGGTTTCCCTGATAAGTCGGAACAACCATCTGCTGTTACCTATCGCCGCCGCTTTTTCCATCGCTCTCGATTTCGCTACTCACCATTGTTCGCAATTATTGCGTAAGCTTCTTACCAGCCTGCGCTTCGTCATGTTCAGAGCCAGGTGGGATGAGCTTACGAGCGTCTATCTCTGCGGCTGGTGCTGTTGAGATCCACGGCTTCTTCCTAGGCTTATGGTTTACCTTACTAGCAGATATCACTGCTGTTTCCAGACTTTTTGATATCATTCCATGATGCTTCCGAATGGGCATCACTTACTACATGGCTACCCAACTGTTTTTCTAATTGTTCCTGTAGTATATTCTTAGCTTTGCTATCATGAACTAGAACTCTAAGAGATCCCCTTGCGGTGTCTTTCTTAAGTCCAGTAAGCCGCAAACAATTACGCGCTAGAGCATGGTCTGAGTCTAAACAAGTGCTCCAAAATGAGCGGCAGTCTCCAATAGAGCCTCTCCACTGACGGCTGATAGCAATGTGGTCTAGTTGGGTCGACTTTGTGGGCGCCATGTCAGATGTTTTTCCTTCTGCTTAATTTGCTAGAAATAGGTGATTATCTGAGCATAGCTGCAGCAGGCGGTCGCCATTATTTGATCTGAGCCACAATATCATAAGACCCACCAAGATATCATTCCTTTACACTTAGTCTATATACTTGAGCATTGAAGTCACCAGCCATTTTTACTATTTCAGAGCGCTTAACATTTTGAAGAATGTTACGAAGATCCCTGTAAAACTCATTTTTTATCTCATCTGAGCTGCAGTCGGTGGAGAGTAGGCAGACACAACGAAGAGTCAACGGTGAGTGTCCCTATCTTTTCGACCACTTACTGTCCCGTTTAATCGAGCGACTGTATACCGGGATCCAGTCTAAGAGAGCTAGTTCTGCCCCAGGATTTAATACTATACCTACACCAGCGAGGCTACGGAAAGCAGAAGCAGGGCTTCCAAAAACACGAAGCGTAAACCGTATTGTTTCTATATCTGCACCAGGTGAAATTAAACTGATGATTTTACTCGTATCTTGTATGTGCGCTTCGGAGACGCAACACACCGATGGCACAGGACTGCAGAGTCTTATCTAATTAAGCCTGTTGCCCTATTCGACACAAGGTGCGAACATTAAAAGCCTCGATAAGTAGTTTAGAGCGTGGTTTCAGGAGACCAGGAATAACGTTTCGTGAGCTCGAAGTACAAGATGAACTGTGTTAATCGAAATAATCATCAACAAATCCCAATACTTCCATCCGATAACCAATACACGAGTTATAGATTATATATTCAATTGGGAGGGTGCCGTACACAGTTGCTTTTACAGACATTGGTCTTATTTAACCAGATAAGTTATATTCTTTGTAATGCGAACTGTGACGTTAGTTTACTTGTTTCCCAATATAATATTCAATAAACGTGAAATCCCATCGATTATTCTAAGGATCGACCACACATTATACAACTTATACCAGGCATTTAGCTCTACCAGAAATGAGAAAAAACTACGAATTTACATTAGGTTCCATGCGACCTACTACGGTACAGACGTAGTGCAGTGCAGTGACCTAATATTTGTCAAATCCTAAGCCTATGTCATTTGAATCCGCCCGCCTTTCCGGATATTTCTATTACATGATTAATTTTTTAGTTAAAATGTAAACATTAAAAATAAAAATCATGTATGTATATACCAGCTTTTAATTAATTCACAACCGATAATAATATTAGGAACATGTTGTTTATTTAAAATCAAACTATTTTTTCAGAAAGGGATTCAATAAGTTACACTAATAATACATCATAAAATTTTTTTTGCTGACAACTTATTACTGTCGTATAGAGAATATACACAAAAGGGGAACGAATAAAATATACCTTTACAAGAGAGAGAGTGAGAGAGAGAAAGAGCGAGTACAGGGCTGTACAAACCTGCACATTTTATGAATAGTGTAGACAATAGAAGATAGAACCAGAAAGAAATAAAAAGGAGAGAAAAATATTTCAACAATGCTTGGAATATACGAAAAAGAAATAGAATAACTGAATAGTTAAAGACCATGTACACAAAGGAAGCACACGTTCGAAGAATACGGAGCACAAGTTATTAAGATGATCCTTTAAAAAACAAAAAGTCTAAAAAAACTGAAGGGGAGAAGATTAAAAACGATTCAACTGACTGTTTTTACAGTTGAAAATATTTTTTTAAAACACACTCAAAAGTAGATATATATATGTATAATATGTATATTTTTTCTTTCTGAGTTTTAAATGCATACACACTAATACATTAATAGACAGAAAAAGGACAATAAAGAATAAGTTGATAATCAAAAATAATAAATATGAATATAGGAAGATTATGTGTTCATCAAATCGGCTCACTGTAAATTAATTTAACAAGACAAAAACACACACATGCATATGTATATAGATATCAAAAGTATGACTTAGATCAATCTCTATGCATACAAATTAATCCAAAACATACACATATGAATGAATTACAATCAGGTAATCTTTGTCATTTATGCATCACCAAGCGCTGGTCTAGAATAGATAACATCTAAACGAAAGACATGAAACAAACACAAACAATTGTTTAAGAAAGATGAGACAAAAAAAACTCAAAAGTTATGCCTATTTCTAATGACATGAATTTGTAGATAATGATGGCAATTATTCATTCTACACATTTTCAACTGTAGTTTTATTCTTCTCGGTCCTCAAATTATTAAAAATAACTTAATCGTGGGCCTATTATTATTATTATTATTATCATTATCTTTGTGCTTTAGCACACATTGTTAGTTTTTATTTGTAGTGTGGCCTGCTATTTTTTTGCATTAAATCTAGTGAATGCTGAAGTCACACAAATATAGAGGATCGACTAAGTGTCCGACTCTGGTTTTTCATATTGGAACTTGAAGATACATAGATATATATTAATTCTGTGAAGATATATATGACCAATGAATCAGCATGATGATGTAATAGAAAGACCATGATACTAGAATATGTAATGTGAATAAAAGATAGTTTATAAGACTATGGTGAGACATACTTGTGACTTCATTTCACATATGGCAAGGAGTTGAATATAATGAAATTTAAGTAAATCTGAACGAATCATATAAACAACCTTAGAAATCAACCTATGGATTGATGAAGTGAATAGCGCTGGCTACGACCTATGTATCTTGCTCCACAAGAGCAGCTGAACTGACAGATGCACGTAGAAACAACCAGAAAAGGGGGCTCATTCGTCACAGATACAGGAAATCTGTCTTTCTAGTCAATGTTGGTCACAGCTTTGTGGTAGGATCAGCGGTACGAATTGGCCATTGAAGCTTGAAATCTTGCTTCTATAGTGGATTAGCCTAGCATCGTAGTATCTTAAATAAGTACCTTAGGTATTTCAGATAATACAACACGATGAATCATCACGATAGGTAAACCTGATCACTAAGTTAGATTGGCAGCTCCAATTAGAAATATCAAATCACTTTTTAACTCAGTAACTAATATGGTTCATCAGTAAACTAGAAAAAATTCAGAAAGAAGCCCGACGGATCTACGAAATCAAAAGATTGATGTCGTAGGTGATAACAAGTATGATGGAATTTATTAGCACGAACACAGAAAATGACTATATTTAGATACATTGGAAAGACACTGACTGCAAGACTGACATAACATGTCAGTGTATTACATCACTGTAAAAATAGCGATGTAACAGTTATCAACTTGGGTATCAAGTCTTATACTTTACATCGCATGAAGAGCAAAGTGGATAAAACAATCAATTTTCGATAACCAGCATGGAGGTCTAAATACTAATCTACGTGCTTTCATCGAACAACTAGGGTAAAATTACTTGCATACGTATTTTTTTTATAAGGTATGATTAAAAGGCTAAGTACCTGGACGCGTATTTGAGGAGTAGACAGTGTTGTTTGACTAAAGAAAAACAGTGGAGTGGTTTAAAATAGCAACATAATTGTTGAAAGTCGAGTAAATATATTGCCTGATCACAACTCAAGTGAAAAATGAGGTTGAGGATTTGTTTTCCCCTCAACCGTATAGTGACCACATCGAGAAAAAGTCACAACAATAAACGACAGGCAGAACCAGAAATAATAATAACCGCTTATTTTTTGGAATTCCGAACTACGCAACCAAAACACAAAAACCAACCTGTGTTTATGTGAGCAAACTGATTCTTCACGAAGTTTTCTAACTGCTCTCCAGCTAACCAAACGTCTGAATCAGCAGCATTATATAACTCTGCGTTATAAAACATAGTGCCTAAATCATGCACTAGTTTCTTTAGTCCTGCGTTAGTGGTGTCTGTGTTATACCGTCCTTTAGATAGCCATTCACGAATCATAGACAAATCGATAGGATCGGTGATAATTTCATAATAATCTGGAACCTGATAAGAATATTTGGGGAAACTGAGTAGTGAATTCAGTTGATAATTAATTTAACCAACATAAGTGATATAAACCAACACAAATCATTGAAGATGCATACTGTGAACATAGTGATACGAAAAACTCAGTTATCTTGAAAATACGCGGTAAGCGACATATATGAGCGAGCTTTAGTAAGTGAATTACTAGGCATACAAGTTGCATATAGCCGTCCGGGTTATTACAGATCCCGAAAATGCATAAATTATACTTAGATTGTTTGACATTGAAGATAATGCATCAAGGCTGATCTATGTCTTCTACCATTGCATACCTGCTCAGTCAAGTATGTGAAGGTGAAAGAACCAGATCACAGAACACACGACAGTGTTATTAGCCTAATCGACAAATAATCTGTAGCACCTAACATATATTCGAGGTTGCATACATTTGATTTTATGAAGCTCTTTTGATTAACTTATTTAACAGACAGTCAGTCGTACAGCAATAACTTATCTGTATCATTGTGCTTTTATTGTTGTCGCGTTCGTATGAGCAGGTGTGATGAAGCATTGTTTACCGCCTACACACATATTCATTCTACTCGCTTTAATGTTAGCCGCCTAAATAATTCGATAACTTATTCATTCTCCTATGAATATGTATGTACATTTTAATACCATTCACTCGCTCGCTCGCTTGCTCTTCGGCACTCGCGTATCACTTTCGTGTCGTATGCCTGTAGTTTTGTGTTGTGTGTGGTGCCGTAATAGGCATAATCAAAGCTTCGTATTCGTCTTCTGATTTAAACACCGTTGAGCCTTATCTAGGTACGGTTATCAGGACGATCACTATACGAAGTTTAAGAATATATCTAATACCAACCGCCACAGAACTGGTGAACCCGATGAACATAACGCAGCCCACGAATCCCTTTAGGGACCAGTATTAAAACTAACGTTTCACAAGACACTCAAAAAATAACTGATAGTTTAAAAGGTAATATGCATGCCTCATTTCATACAAAATATCCCATCGAACACTCAATATAATTATTGAAAAGATATATGATGGTGGCCTTAACTAATATGGACACTGACGACTCCGGTGAGAATTGGTAAAGTTAAATAGCCAAAGAAAATGTCGATAATACAATGAAAATATTCAAGTAATAAATTCAAACGCTACCTGGTTTCTGTCAACGGCTTTTCTAAATGGCCACGAATGTTTGTGTTTGTACACAGCATCAATAATGTGTGAACATAAAGATTGGGATTTTACGTCCATTTGTTCCGTTTCCGAAGTATCTTCTTGATCAGACGAGTGTCGTCTACGTTTTGGATGTTTATTTAGTTGCGAACTAAGAGCGGATGCTGACCGTGAAGCACTACGTCGACGGGAAATTGGATGTTGATTAATAGAACGGGCATCTACATCTGAAGATGCTTCACTTGATTGTTGTTCAACATCTGTGTCAGACGTTACGACATTCCTTCGAGATCCATTGCGGCGTCGTGCTGAACGAGCAAAAGAAGTACTGTTTAGGAACTCATCTTCACTGTGTTCATCTGGACTAACACCTCGTTTCTTAAAAATAGCTTGATAACTATAGATAAATAAATGAGAAATGGGAATATACGCATTAACAAGACGAAATAAAAAGTCACTGAACTATCAAAATCGATTATTCAAAACTTTTCTTTTACAGAAAAACTGTACTCGCAAATTTGGCTTTATTTATTCATAACAGATGAAATAACGTGATATTAAAGTCGAGAAACGATATACAAGTCGTATGACCAGTCTTAGTAATTTCATACGACATTGACGAACACTATGAATAATATAACAATGATAAATGATGGTACTCACGTTTTTCGACGATAATCTCTGCTTTGAAAATAAGAGGTAATGGTGGAACGTTTTTTATTCGCTCGACAAATGGAACACTGCCAACCATCTCCACGTGGAACATGGTGCAATGGCGGATCATGACAATCTAAATGGAATACACTGGGACAGTTGGAACATAGAACCAAATCACCAACTGAATCTGAACAGACAAGACAGGATGTATCATGTCTAATATTCCTAGATGAAACTGAAGAAAAGATGAATTAATACCAATTATAGACCTAATATAGAGAGTATAAGGTAGAAAATTTTTACCTGGATTACGACTGGCTGGACTATGTGAACGTTTAATATTGAACGCGCCAGAGTCATTGCCACCTTTCGATCGAAATGAACGAGGATTTCGACGTTTTGTTTTTGGAGCAGCTTCACTTCCACCACTACTTTCCTCATTATTATCGGAGTTTGACTGTTCCTCATCATCAGAGGATAAGGCGTGTTTTCGTCGTCTTGCAGATCGAGCTAAACGTTCCTCACGCTTACGCTTTTCAAGGGCACGAGAAGCTGGCCTGCACGTCGGGCAAAACCAATCGCCTGTTGGTACACGTTTTAATGGTGGACGCAAACAGTAAAGGTGGAAAGCGAGATTGCAGCCATCACAAAGTAGTAAATTATCATCATCTGTTTTGCGACGACATACACGACAGCGTGCATCCTCCACTGACTTTTCCCAGCGAACACATGCATCCAGACATGCCTAGTTATGAATAAATGAATACACAAAGTATTAAAAAGGATATTAATTTTTTCATTACATAAAATATTAATTCATCATAGAACGAAGATTCAAACTCCCGGTTAAAGGAAAGGAGAGTTGTTGGGATTATTTAAAAACATGCTGTTTTAGCATTTAGGATAACTTATTAGTACTTGGAAAAGCCGCGAAACATTTTATTATTAATGCTTGATATATTACTGTTATACATGCACGTAAACACGTCATTTGGTATGCTTGAATTATTACGAGTTCACCTTAGTCGGAAAACGAGAGCGAGGATCCGGCGGCACGACATGCTACTCTAATCCGAGTGTCTCAAACGCTCATTGAGTAAAAGAACAAGACTTGATATGAAATAGAACATGTATTCTACAAGCAGCCAGAAAGTACGAGGTCAGAGTCCAAAAGAGAATCAGGATCCTGGACTAGGTATCCGGGTCCGGGTCATAAAATCTTACAGATAATGCATATATATACAGTTAGGTCGAATAGGGAACGACATTGAAGTCAGTGACATTGACAGTTAAGACGACCAATATATATATATATATATATATATATATATATATATATATATATATATATTTACGAGATAGTAAGAAAGTGACTGATCAGTTGACATTTGTTTGAACTATCGTATCAAAATAGCAAAACCTGCTTTATATGCATCGAGAAAAAAAGGAATAACACAAGTCAATACAAGGATTAAGACGTTTTCAAAGTGATAAATAATGATAAACGCTTTATTATCAAGTATAAAGTATAGCGGTAAGTTATTGTTATGTTTTATTATACATGAATCATTTAATTAGCCAAATTAAACTGAATGCAATTGATTCGAACTCACAACCTAATGAGATTAACCTTAATTGTTCATAATAATAAAATTATAAAAAAATATAATAGAAACGAAATTTGGCTTTTCACGGAATTACATGTAAAAGGTTCAACCGAGTCAGTGTACGAGCATTTTGAACTTCAGTACGCCATGCTGTCATCCAAGCACGAGTTCGTAATTCATGAGCTTCAGGGTCTAATACAGCTTTTTCCAGATCCTGTGAACGATCATTACTTTCAGATGCATCTGAGTCTTCTCCAGACGAAAATCTAGTACATGGTGTATGATTTGGGAAAGAATTTTTTACATCATTACAATCATTTGTTCCATTTTGGTTAGAATTTGACTGTGACTTAGTACAGAGATCAGGAACGTTTAAAAATCGAGGAATTATATTTTCAGCTACTTCAATAAGGGCAGTGACAAGCCCTGCTTTGTTTGGTGATTCACATGAACTGGATAAAGACGTGTTTGATTTTGAAGACAAATTTACATTGGAGGTTTCTTGTTGAAATCCATAGGATGTTTGAACTTGTGCTAAACGCTCCTGCCATTTTGTAAAGTCTGGTACACCACCAAGACCACCGGATCTTAAACGCACTTCGGTGTCTAAAATATTCTGAAAACAAACAAGTAATTCAAGCTAAACTTTATATGATGCAAGATAAGACAATAAAAAATCCCAGAAAGCATAATTTATGGAACTTAGGTGTCATCTTAATCGCATTTCGTTAACTATTATTCACTTGATTCACTATCAATTATTATCCTCAAGCAAACAAAACTGTTATTTACTGGGAAATGATATTGTAGTGGGTTTATTGCAAGTAAGGGTTTATTGTTCGTAACTAATTTCCGGTAAAATCTGGCTGAATTATGTTGCATACAACAGATATAATGTAAGTTTTGAAGATACTTTGTTCCCTTAGCGACCTACTATTTGTTTAACAATAGGCAGATAATAGTACTCATGGGCAGTATCACTGATGAACAAGAGGGATCTAATGCGGGTATGAAAACAGGTGCTGGAGAAGCAAGGGTAGGATTTCTACTGCTAAAAAACGTCTGGAACTCAAAATAAATGTCAACCAACACGAAAGTCAGAATTTTCAATACGAACGTCAAAACAATCCGATTGTATAGAACGGAAAGTTGGAGAACTACAAAAGCCATCATCTTTACGATAAACGTGTTTATTAAGTTGTCTACTCACGATACTGAGGATCCGTTATCCACACAACATCAGCAACAACCTACTGTGGGAGAGAACAAACCAGATTGCAGCTGACGAGAAAATACGGAAAAGTGCTGAAGTTGGAGGGAAAAATTGCGGGAATCACTCAGCTGCATCACGAGGCAAGCCATAAAATGGGATCCTCAAGGCCAGAGGAAAAGAGGTAGATCTAAGAATACGTAGGGTCGAGAATTAGAAACAGACATGAAAAGAATGAGTAGCGATTGGAGACAACTGAAAAGACAGATGCAAAACAGAACTGGTTAGACAATGCTGGTCGGAGGCATCTGTTATGTCAGGGGTAACAGGCGTAAGTAAGTAAGTGATAAAATATAGAACGCTGTGTACTCAAAAGTTTGGGTCATCATATTTACCAGCTGAGTAAATATTACAATAGACCTTGCTGTATTAGAATGTTTGAACTAAGCAATTATGGTATGAACTCTGGTACCGTAATGAACAAAGATAGTAAACCGGGTGGAATAAGCGATTTATTTGGAAAAGAGTTAACTACACGGAATGTGTATACATTATGGTCTAATAGTTATTTTGAAGAATTTATGTTGTAGTGCTAGTGTGGCGTGACGCTAATGAATTGAAAGCAAGCAAACAAAAGTGATATTCATACGAGAAAATCACATATTATAAGTGATCAGACTTACTTTCAATAATGCTCCTGCCAAAGCGGCTCCAGCATGAAGATTACTACAATAGAAAAATATTCTACGTAATTGTCAAACATGAGAAAATAACTGAATACAAATTAAATTGAAATCGTGAAAATTTAGGCTTGTTACACATATTTAACAGTGTACGAAGCATAAGAAAAATAACCAAAACTGATTAGATGAACTTAAAGCTGTCACGTAAGTTCACACATCCATGAACATAGACTTGATAAGGTAAATAATAAGCTATTCAGTAATTAAAAAAAGATCGAATTACTTCTTGGTTCTTTGCATATCAGAGAATGTTTTCCCTCGTATTAGATTCGATGTGATATATAATCATATAAGATAAACTGAACTAATAAATTGTTGTGTTATAATTCGATACTGTATCAACTGCTGTTCGGCTAGTTAATCAACTGATAACCAACTACAAGTATTACAACTTAGAACACGTATACGCATATACGCAGACATAGCTACTGGTGCCGGATGTAATGGTTTTTAGATTTAAAAATCGTTTGTAAACGAAAAAAAATGATGAAGCGAATGATTTCGCTTAGCTGAAACTAGATTTGTGAACGAACAATGAGTTCATTTTATTTCGTAGTTTCTCTTCTGCTGTTTAAAATTGTATTCGTATTGGTTACAATATTGAAATATAATAATATATAAAAGAGTAATTATAATATTCAACAGTTAAGCCGAAAAAGATGATAATAAATAGATAACTACTAGTTAAAGAACTACAGAGAATCTGAACAGTACCGTTTATGATGAGATGGAGGTTTGTCTACATTTACAGGATTATCATTGGTTGAATCAGCTTTGATTACCAACTCATTTGAAAGACTATTTTTCCATCTTTTTCTAAGTGATTCCAGAAATCCATCCGCCAATAATTGACTTTTTAAGTGACTTTCTCGTATGCCACTAGGTAGCAATGAATTTAATAATTCGTCTAACTGCTCAGGACGATCATAAAAATACCAGTTACTCCAAGAACTTGAAATTGTTCTACTGTTCAATGTATCATTTTTTACAGAAGTATGAGCAGGCTGTGGTATTGTTTCATCATCCACAGAAGTAAATGGGACAGATTCGTTTTCTATAAATAAGAATTGTACAAAACTCTATATTGCACTAAAAAAACTTTAAAAAAATTAAATTGTGGTAATCTACTTAAATTTATTATTTCAGTGTGTAAATAAGTATACTAAGGAAATAGAAATTACTTTTCACTAAATCGGTCGGATACATGATACTTGAGGCCCAATTAGCTTCTAAAAACAAACGATCTGGAGAGCAACGGAAATACCAAATACGGCGATAATATCTATCATAACCGATAGGATTACTTCGTAGAACACATTTTGCTTCTGTAGACCGAATGTCATATAGTCGACTAACTGTATTGATTGCACGTTCTTCAGCATGTTCTTGAGCCATTTCCAGACGCCGTTGACGTTCTTGATTCTCTTTTTCTTCTTTTTCTATTGCTGCTCGTGCTGCCAAAATCCGTCTACGTTTTACAATTGATGCCAAGTCATCTAAAATGGTCAACAATTACAATTTAAAATAGTGGTTTTATATTTATTCTAATCAGACATGTTAGTCAAACGCATAAACATGGTGTAAATAATATTTGTACTTCCCTCATTTTAAATAAGCAAGTAAATCATCTGTAAGAAACAACATACTTTCAGATTCGGAGATATCCTCAACAGTAGTGGTAGGAGTGTCTGTCTTAGACTTTGATTCATCAGGCTGATTGGTAGATGATGTATTATTACTAGTATTATTATGAGTGGCTTTGCTAGCCTCATTCGCATTATCTTTCTTATCTTTTTTTCGTAAATTCTTATCGCGTAATACTTGAATTTTCTTTTGCCATGCATCAGCTGCACGACGTTGACATGCCATAATATGATCGTCTATCAAATCAAGATCGAAAATTTTATCCACCGCCGACTCCAACGCTATGACACGTATTTCTGGAAATAGTTCATGTAGATCAGAGTTGGATAAATGATCTATAAGTTGTGTCACAGAAGAGTTCTGGTCAAAAAGAAAAGAGAAAGTTGAAGAGTACAAAATAAATGATTTCCTAGATATAGACTTCTTTCAAACTAGTAATCTTAACACAAGGGAAACAAGCACAAATGTCTGAAATAAAAACCGTGTTGCAGAGTTGAATAGTGGCTAACAGTGAAATTCAGGATGCGCTTTTCGTTCTGTTTGGAGGTAAACGATTTTTGTAACAACTAGTGAAGTAATAAAGTTTTTTAAAATAATGTGGGTAAACAAGAAATTAAATTTACGACTTCATGAGCAAAACCTGAATAATTAACTGGCTAAACCAGTACGCTCGCAATTCGTAAATAAAGACATTTAATAAAAAAAAGAAATACTATCCTTATGATGTTTTTAGTGTTAAAACCGTTGACTGCTGGAGACTTAAAATGAGAATATTAACTATTGTTTACTAATCATATTACGAATCGGACTGTGACGGAATACAAACCATGATACATGTCTGATTATACAGATTAATACAAAAAAAATTAAAAGTACATAACGAATGAAGATATATTTTCTGAAGATCGAGATTTTATCTAGGCAGTTACTGAATTCATTAAATCGACTGTTGATAATTTGGATTACATTTAATGATCAACGTTTCGAGTTATGGTATTTATGTGTGCGTAAACTCCCCTCTCAGAAAACCTCATACGAAATCAAGAAAGCAATCGATGACAATGTTAAGAATACAAGCCAGTGACGGTCGCGTAAAATTGATGGAATTCATCAAAGATATTTAAGGCAGAAATTTCTATTAAACTCTATCGAAAGCTCATTATAAGAACAGTTCAACAACTACAACCTATCGAGTAGAAAAATAAATTTATTAAAAGCCGACGTTATTTCACTGCAATGTATACACTAAGAATAGTTACTGAGAAAAGTGATGAGGCCAAATTGGAAAATATATTCAACTAGTTGACAGATTAACAATAAATCAGAACAAAGTGTTAGCTAAATGAGTTGATTCTTTACTTTTCTCTCTAAAAGATTACAATATCTATTAAATATTTTCTAGTTTACAATCAGTTAAGATTATATCAATAAACATATTGTTCCTAACATCAATGTATTTTTAAAAAATCTAAGAATAGCCTAATATATTTCCCAAAAGCAGCAATTAGAAATGATAATCAGCAATAAAATTCCACTATACTGATATAAATACTCGCTCCGTTTATGTACATACACTAAGATTCAAAAGAGAGATTATTGTGATCCTAGCAAAAGGATGATGTGTAATATTTTTCTCGACGGCCGTTGCTAGCTTCACATGAGGATCGGGTTTGTTTATCATGATGACCTAACCAAGTGATTGTGGCTGGAATACTCGTTACTTTAGATCTTACGATATAAATCTAATACGTTGAAGAAATGTAAGATTAAAAACAAACTCAAGTCCGATGGAGAAGTCATACAGCCGAATGTTCTAGGGTGTAACGACAGTGAAGCGTTTCTCTATACAAACCAGGATCCATAGCGATGTTTCCATTTCATAACACAAGGGTCGAATGAAGAAAAGTTAATACTAAACAAAAAATGCCTTTTGATTTCTGTCGCCAGATACAAGGCTTTTAAAGTACATAGCTAACATAACAAGACATACACTCAAAAATTATGTTCGATTGACCTTAATCAACTGTCCTTTGAGTCCTTTTGTCACACTCTCATAATACAACTATCAATAAACTTTTCATCATTGGATAACTAAAGAAAGTATCCTTTCATAGAGTGGAACACTGGCAACTGCCTACGCACCAATAACACCATTTGAGTTTATTTCGAGTGATGTGTTAACATTAACTTTTGACTAACTTCATTTCAATAAAAGTATATTAAATTTTATTTACAGCCTTAATATCTGAATACACCAGGTACCTGATAAGACATCGTATGACGATTCATGTTATTCAGTGCAAATGGTCGCGTTTGTTTCTTACTTTGTCCTAAGATCTATTGATTTAGAAAATGGTTATTCAATTAAATTCGTATCGCCTGAGAAAGAAATCGAAAATTGTAGAAACTATGATATAATACGAAACCAATTTTTATGGAAATTTCAGTATAATGAAATCTGATCTTTTGTAAACACTACAAGTGTATCCACAACAGTAAAAGCTTTAAACTACTAGGAAAATTTGTATGCATGATGTTTGCAAAGGAATAATTCAACCAATCAACTGCATAACCTGACTTGACCTTAACTTTCAGTCTGTCTTTGTTTTGCTGTATAACCGTTATACTCGGTGCAGTAGATGAGTCATGCAACACTTCTATCTATCCGTAGACATATTGTATATTTAAGGAACGGAAGGATTAGTGATTAGGTTTTCCGAGTTTTTCTCAGATTTAGGATAGATTTAGGCTCAAATCAATGAAAATAACATCAAATCTTACACTTGCTCACACAGATTCAGTCATGTAAGAGAAAAATTTTGACACTTACATTAGAATCAGTGGCTGAAGTAGCATGGTTTTGTAACTGTTCCAGTACAGTTGTTCGATTAGAATTTGATGGTACTTCGTGTAAAAGAGTTAGCCGAAGGAGTTCAGGAGCTGTATATGGTGTGACTGGGAATTTAGCCAGTTTTAAACCCAATTCACGTTTTTTCTGAAAATCAAAGAAACTTATTAAACTAAAATAGATTAAAAAGTTTCAGATGAGAAAAACGGTATACTATTACCTTTTAATATTGATTGTAGGATTATGTATGTATGTACAACAACGATAAAATAAACGTGATAATCAGAATTCCAACTACTAATATTACGTGCTGAACTTTTCGATTGTTTCAGTTTCAATGTGACAAACAAGTAATTTTGTATGTTAGTATGTATATATAAGAGTAACTAACTTTCAAACTCGGTTCGGCAACGGACAATGAAATATAAAATCTTCAAAATGTGATTGTTTGTAACGATACAGCATCGGACATTTCATTCGAAAATATTGATAAGCTCTAAACAAATCTACCAAAAGATAAATGCTTAAACACTTTATTTTGGATCGCAGAAGGATGCGAAGCACGACTAACTCTATGTGTATAGAAACGGTTGGCATGGTCTTTTTGTTTGTCATGAGGTCTTAGTTTCTTTAACATGTCTGGATTTTCTCTAAAGTATTATTTACATTCTGCGAAAGGCAGAGGCGATAAGTAACACTAGACAACCGTTCAAACTTATAAAGGAAACTTGTACTAAAAACATGCTGGTAGTGAAACTCTTTCGGAAGATGGAACAATTATTCATTCTCATTCCGGGAGACTGAAAAGATGGGCAGAACAGTTATGGAAGCAGTCCAAGTGGCATTCAGTAACACTTCAGTTACCTACAATCTCCCGTTGATTTGAATGGTAGGTTGATGTTAGTCCGCCAACTTTGAATGAAGCGGAAAAGCCAATCGGCAGTCTAGAGCAAGAGCAGCAAAACACGATGGATAAGCCTGAGATGAAGATGAATGTCCGAATTCGGCAGTTAGATCAACTGAGATCTTAGCTAGAAAATGGGAACTGGATGTAATCTCATCTGACTGGTCTCAATTGTTGGTCATCCTAGCTTATAAGAAAGGACAAGTCATCATTAGAAAACCATTGAACAATGAGTTTGAATAACATTAACTAAAAAATTAGCATCAATACTACTTCAATGTCAAACGAGAGCTTGTGAAGAGTAGACTTGAGAAAACCAGGCTGGTTCCAAACTTTATACGTGGATCTACAGATTAACTATTCACACCTCAGCAGTATCTAGAACTTAGACACACATTTTGGTGACTAACAGTACTTGCGTGGCATAGGCGAGACTTTTTTCTGTTAACTGAGGACCATTTTCTTGCTCAACAGTTCGCTCTGTTCTACTTGATGAATGCGAAGCATGGACATGAAAAATAAACGATATTCGTAATTTATTAGTGTTCGATCATCGGTGTCTTGAAGCATTGTTCGTGTATTCTAGGACCATCGAGTAAGTAATATTAGGGATAGGAAAAGGGTACTAGCTAAGGACAGCAAGTCAGTTGATGAAGTAGTAAATCTTCACCAGTTGAGTTGGTTGGGACATGTGTTACATGTGTCTAACCACAGACTGCCTTGATTGGTAATGTTGTCTGACTTAAGGCTAGGGCTGGAGCAAAGCTAGAGGCGGAAAAGTTAAAACACAGAACAAATCCACAACATCACTGACAGCTGGAGTGAGCCGTGTAAGTAAGCATAGACTATCTGGGTGGGTTTCGCGAGACAATCTTGACCGGTGGTTAGAGACTTCGAATGACATGGCTCAAAATTGTATGCAATGGCACATATGCACTCATTTTTTGTTTTCTCTCAAATTCTAACAAAACATGCTTCCTGGATCCTAATGATAGCTACCATCCATCTCTACTTATAATAACTTTGACTCAGTGATAATGCGACCTGCACAGGATTCACATATGCCAAAGAGTGATCAGCTGCAGTCCTAAAGCATCAATAGAAAGATCCAAACAACCAAGCTATATATAAATTAAATATACACTATGGATAACGAAGAATAAGCAGTCAGTTATCAAAAGCGTTGTACTTTTCCTGATGTAAGTCCCCGTAGAAAAGTTTTATACTTAAATAGGTTTGTAAACAGACAAACAGGTGAATTAATTATACAAACGGAAGTATTACTGGGAGTCAATCCAATGCTGATTCCAATAACTTCGAACATAGTCTAATCAATCGTATGTTTTTGAGGTACGAATGTGTATATAACAAACAGGATGTTGTCCCCTTAAGACTAATAAACCCTATGATTTACTCAGGGATAAATGAATAGTGTGTATCTACTATTACGAAAATACTTAAGTTTGTAGTTTCAAAAAATTCTGAAATAAAATTATCATACGTTAGTTTTCTAACACAACACAATACTTACACCTATTTGTTCATCCCTTAATACTAAGCGTAACAGGACGCTTAACGGACGTGCTAGTGAACGGTAGGCACCAGCTGATGGATTGTTTGTAGTGACAGCATTAAGTAAGCGCTTCAATCCTAAACGACGCAATGCCTTTATACATATTTTCGGCAGTGGAGCGTTTGATTCAGTTAAACCAGCTTCTTCTTCTTCGTCATCAGTATTTCCATCGTCATCATCGTCAGAATAACCAGGTTCACCAGCCCCAGCTACAGCGGAATCGACAGGACAGCGGCAAAAACCGGACAGAACATTATTTTCGGATGGATTCTCAATCTCAGTATCATCAACAGATCCTTCAACAAGTAAGCTGTGGAAGATATGGAAAAATTCCGTTAGTCCTAACAGGCGTCCAAATAGAGATTCGTTAAAGCTGGGAGGGAGTTCAAGTTTGGAGGGTTCAGGTAAACGGGGACACTGAGGCAAAGAATTCATGAGCTGTTGGTCATCCAGCAGTTTATTAGCGTGAATACGTTCGATCTTCCGTTTCTCTTTCATTTCTTGTAGTGCTTCCTTTCGTTGAGTTGGTGACATAGCCAATCTAGAAATTCGAAATCATAATGGGGACATATAAGTATTAAGATTTAGGGTATACTTTACTAGAGAAAAATAACATGTCAAGGGTTATTTGATTGGTTAAAGCATAACCCAGAATCAGTGTGATTAGAGACAAAAAGGTGGTGTGACGGTTTTTAGCTACTTACTCCATTATCATATTTTATTCATGATAAAAAAATCACTTACATCCAGAAACACTATTTTAAAAACCAGAATTAATGTCCGCCACTCCCAACGTTTCATAGGATAATATTCGAAAATGACTGATTCTGACTGATAGCACCGATTCAACAGTCTCGATGTTACGTTCGAAAATTGTGCATAGTTAAGTACTACAAGTGGTGGATGAGTTATAACCAGCCACTACTAAATAATTCATCAAAAACGGGAAAGGTGTGATAACGAAAAATGTTTGCGAATCCAACATTTGAGAAAGCTTTGACTAGGCGTTTTGGAAAGCTAAAGCAACTGAACTACCATTCTTAAGAATATTCAACAAAAGGTTGATTGCTGATATGGACAAGAAATGAGGGCCTGGATATTACGGTGAGTCAATTATAGCCAACGTCAAAATTGCGATATATGTAAATCGGTTCACGATGCTACGCCGAATCGGCAAGGCAGGATAAAATTACCGAGAAAAATCCCAGAGTAGTAGAAGTAGCAGCAATGTTAATTGCAGTGAAAGAGATTAGAGAAAGAAAAACTGATTTCAAGAAGATGAATTCTCAAACGAAAAGTATGGGATAATCTAATACAAAGGGGATAAAAGAATAAAGATCAAAAATGTCACAATTAACCTATAATTACAAAACTATTCAAAAACACCAAATATACGATCTAACAAGTAAGCATTTTGGCTATATCATAAAATACAGCGAACAATTGACGTTTACATTTTATTGATACCTTAAGAGATAATAGTTGGCGAAGAATGAAGACGGTAGTCTTAAGCAAGCATTACGCTTACGGAGACTCGTGTGTGCAAATTCTACCACAGGTGTTATATTCCAGAGTAATTATTAAAATCACATGGATTTAATAGCATGGACAAACTATCAAAAAAAGTCGAACATTGTATGATAGCAGTTATCTCGTGGTTAGCCACTTTCCGCTACCTTTTACAATTGGTTAATTGGTTGTTACCAACGGTTATATTTAGATGTGCTAGCCGAATCAATACAGTTTATTCATTATACAATAATCTAAAAATTTAAAAAACTGAAATTGAACGTACAACTTTTTTCTAAATGCAAATGCTTCTTTCTTCGATCGTACAGGATCACGTAATTCAACGGGCAACTTAAGTATATCAATATCACTTATGAATTTTGCACAAAGTCTTATCTGTGTTTCTATAGCTGGATTATTACGATTTTCTTCAAACATTTTAATGAGATGTTGAGCAACTCGGGGTAATGTATTTCTTTCGTTGGTATTCTTCTTAGGACGATTGATTATTGATTTATTTGATGTTTCATCTTTTGTAGTTTTCTTACCAAATTGAAATAAAGTAGACTGTGTCGATTAAATAAATATGAAAATTAGAAAAATATTTTAGCAAAAATGTTATAGGCAAGCTGAACTAAAACTGACATCGACTTGACTTTCCAATAAAACCAAATGGAAAATTTCCTCTAATGGAAGCGAAGATAAAGGTATTTTTCCAGTGCTCCTAGTGTGTGTTTACAGTCAAACTTGCGGAATATCTAGCAAATAAAATTTCTTTATGTGAGCGTTGCTTCGAAGATACTTACTGAATACGTTTTACCGTTAATGAGTATTTTTTACAGACCTCTTGTCCGAAAGAACAAACTGTTATTGATGACCCTTAATTACTAATCCTAATTCAGAGATTCTGTCTGTGTTAAAGACTATCAACGTGAAACGTGCCGACACTAGGCAATTACAAATCAGAAGTTAATAATACAACTATGCAAATAGCTTGATTATTAACGTATTTAACGGAGTAACTTCTGCTACACATTTTAAAACTGTTGCTTGTTTCGACAGTGTCTGTAAATTACCTTAAAATTAACTGCAAACCAGAAAATATTTAGCAACTTAAAGTATTCTTAAGTGCTTAACATTTCTTTGGTCAACAGATACACTAGTATCTACTTCCATTAAACTGTATTTTAAATGACTTATTTAATACAGATTTGATATGATGCAAACTGCGGTTTTTTAATAATTGTATATACAATTAATTCTTTGGTACTGGTTAAAAATTTATTTGTAATGTGAGATAAGTGGTTCGATAAAGCCGTAGATTTTTACGTGTAACCCGTTATCCAAATATGCACGGAATTACTGAGCTACATATAATTATTTATCTTACGAGTAATAGTTGTGCATTGTTTAGTACTCACCTAGAATTCATACTACAGAAACTAAATACGATCAAACTAACTTGCAGATTTAAGGAATTTGACCTAACAACCAAGGCTGCTGTCAACCTGTGATCCAATGATTAGGAACTAAATGAATAAATTAATGATATACAAGGTATGTCAAATGACTGGAATGTATGGTATAGACAATTACTCTTTACCAAAAATAGATATAGGGCTTTTAAGTTCCAAGTGACTGTAGGATTGAACCATCAGTCTGCCAGAAGCTTATCAGAATCAGCCACGGTTTCCTCGGGACATTTTTAACCACGTAACATCAGTATACGGAAGTGTCTCAAAAAAATCTACTTTTATTACAACTTGCAAGATTTAGCAGTTGGAATTTGTTCACAAATAAAATAAACACAAAACTAAATATCAGAGAAACAAACCTGTTTCATTTTCTTCTTACTATCCTCCAACGAACTTTTAGGTTGAGCACGATCTTTTAACTGAGATAATGGTAAATTATCTTCGTTTTCTTCAAGTAGCTTGGAAGTGTTGTCCTCACGTAGTACAGAAAAGCGTTTGATACGTTTAAAATTAAGTGGTGTGCTAGAGGTAACATCATCTGATGTACCCTCTCCGTTGGATTGACGTCTTGAATTCATAACACGTACAAAGTATTCTTCCTCCAAAGCCCTGGACATTTGTTTTAACTAAAAAAATTATTGATGATGATAATAGGTAGGATAATTCGCATGTACTATGAAAATCAATAATAGATTGAAACTTTAAGGGTCATAAATCGCTCTTGTCAATCAGCAATACTGTGGAAATACTTTAAAAGAATTTAAAAACAATCAAATGATTAAGCAGTAGCGTGACGTGTATTCTAGGTAATAATACTAGTAAACAAATGTCAGTATGCTGTTTCGATCCTGCGAGTTTAAGTTTCGATGGTGATGAAATGAGGTTTTTTTAACTATTCGGTAGCTATGTAACATTTACATGAGTGAGTGGAACACAGAAATTAGACTGGACATACCTTAGCTTTATCCACTTGACACCCAGGGCTCTTCAAAGGTATTTTATGACGTCGTAAAAGTTCTTCGTTTACAATCCATGGACCAGTAAAATTTGGTCCATAACGCATAGCATGACTTCGAATAAACATTTTGATATGGTCTTTGGAAGGTGCTCTGTTGATGCGGCTTTAAGAATGAAAACTAGTAATCTACAAATCTTACTCAATGGAACAAGCTGGCACATCGTGAACAACAACAGGAATATCCGAAAGAACTTTAACACTGTAAGCGTAGTTTTTCTAGAAGTATACTTTATGATAGTTTGAAAACTACCTTAATGGGAGAATTCTTCTTAGTCACATTTTCTTTGTCACTGTTATTTGGAGAAGTGTTATCTGGAACAGGAGTCTAAGATTGAATGAATTAGATCGGATTTACAGCGTACCGGTACCGTTTGTGATTTTATAATATCATCAATTATCCCACGTATTCTAAATCGAAAATATTACTTTTCAATGAACTTACGGTGTGCTGGAAACAGAGTCAACTTTGAGTTTTACAGGTTCAGCAATATGAAATTGCTCATGTATGGTGGTCCAACAGCTGTGTACTAGGGATTCCAGAGGTAGAGTACCTATAACATTGTTGTCTTTATTCAGGGGAGCTTACTTAAATGGACGCGTTCTAAAATAGTTTTCTCAAAAAACTTAGGGAAACACTTTCTTAGTGTTCGGATAGCAGTCGCCTCAGTTTTCAGTGCTTCCCGATAAGTCAAATTAGGTTTCCCAGTTACACGACAAGTCCATATATTTTCATTATATATAGTAGTTTTACGCTGCAGTTCCTCAGCAGATGTACAAATTTCTTGTGTTTCTGGGACGATAAATGCTGGTTTCGACTCTGGCTCCTCAGGTTGTTCACTGTCACGAGGTTTCTTTTTTCTCCAGATAGGGTTTAGAACATGTAGCTTCGTACTGATTAGCGGCATCTGAAAACCCGAGACAATAAATTAGGCATAAAATACCTGAAATGTTAATATCGATAGTTAAATACGTTAACTTCTGGTCACAATAAATTATTGATGGTAAGGATCCTGGAAAAGTATACTGGATTTTCTTAAAGCGATTCTTACAGAGTAGAGACCATACAAGTCGTTAAAAATAATATTGTTAGTCCCCATACTAGCTATGGCATATGCTCAAATATCTAGTGTTTTGATTCGTTTAGGTTTTGTTATAGGAACCCTATGACAAAAGTTGAATGTTTTGGAATAGAAGAATTAAATTCATGTTTTTAGATTATTACTTTCACAATACATGCTCTAGCTCTCCCTAAAGGTGTTACCAACTGCATAAGTTGGTGATATAAACAAAAAATTTCATTTCAGTTTTGCAATAGTTTCTAAATGGACAACCTCTTGAACTACCCAGAACAATCGCACTAACCACTTGTTAATGTTATCTCTGATATATAAATGAGAGGTCCATGCAAGGTCGAATAATTGACCGCAAACTACTAAGGATTTAGGGAAGATAGAAATACTCGGTGTAGGGGTTTCGTCAAACCGAAGCTCAGAAAGCATATTGTAGGAATAAATAATAGTCACCGTTGTTCATACAGTACTAACCACAGCTGTCTTGTTATATCTCAGACGTTAGTTTTTTAGTACTATCAATTTGGTCTTCTTACGGCAATCCCCCCAAATTTTGTTCTAACGCACTACCATTTTGTATTTACGAATCTAGCATCTTGTATATGTAATGACGGCGTTTAGTTACCGTGTCTAAAGTAAGCAAAGAACATGTTCATTCAATTGTCCTATTGCTTCTGTTATGTGTTCCGATAGTTTCTCACTAATAACTCTATATCAATGTTTAAAACGACTCATACACATCAAAATACCTATACGTTACTTACTATAAAAGCCAGTACCATGTCTTACATTGTCTTCTGTAATGCAACGTCAGTACTTGATCAATCTTAGCCTTGGCTGTTAACAACCGTTATTTCGGCATACTAGTGACAATCTCAGTGAGACTTCAAAAGAAATTACATTCATAGAAGTCTTTCAGTTAGTTGAAGGCTCATGTAGTAGTGGTTCACATCAAAATAAATGTTTAAAAACTACCCTATTAAAACACTGATATGTAGACAAAGAATATGCCTAACTAATTCTCTCAACGTTCTGGAGTACTGTATCCAAATAAATGATCCACAAAGTATCCTAGATCAAAGCAGAATGTATAGTTTAAAGTAAACGGCATATTTTTGACATTGCTATAACGTAAACTTGGTACGTACGTGCATCAGTTCAAGTCGCCATACCACACTAGCACAGATGGATTTATCAGTTGAAATCCCATAGTAGTAGCATTAGCGATAGTGGAAAAGATAAGGGATCAAAGATTCGAGAAATATAACCCAACGAAATAAATTCAGCATGAGAAAACAGGTCATGTGAAATCAAAAAAAAATAGGATTTGAGAGAAAACAAAAAATGAGTGCATATGTGCCATTGCATACAATTTTGAGCCATGTCATTAGAAGTCTCTAACCACCGGTCAAGATTGTCTCGCGAAACCCACCCAGATAGTCTATGCTTACTTACACGGCTCACTCCAGCTGTCAGTGATGTTGTGGATTTGTTCTGTGTTTTAACTTTTCCGCCTCTAGCTTTGCTCCAGCCCTAGCCTTAAGTCAGACAACATTACCAATCAAGGCAATCGGTGGTTAGACACATGTAACACATGTCCCAACCAACTCAACTGGTGAAGATTTACTACTTCATCAACTGACTTGCTGTCATCAGCTAGTACCCTTTTCCTATCCCTAATATTGCTTACTCGATAGTCCTAGAATACACGAACAATGCTTCAAGACACCGATGATCGAACACTAATAAATTACGAATATCGTTTATTTTTCATGTCCATGCTTCGCATTCATCAAGTAGAACAGAGCGAACTGTTGAGCAAGAAAATGGCCCTCAGTTAACAGAGGAATGGCTGGCCCATGCCACAAGTGATGTTATTTGGCAAAGGCAGGTCACGTCTTCTGAACCCGTGCGGTAATTTCGTCAGACCAAGTCGTCAGGACTGATGACAGTTCGAGGTGAAGGGATGTGGTTGTCACGCTCAACTACTTCACCTATCATCAATTATATGCCGACTCAATACAAGGGTTAATATCAAGGAATTCGAAACCACTTTTTCAGATTTGCTTATTAAACGGGCATTTTGAATGCTAACAAGCGCTGGTTTTTACCCTTCTCTGAATCACTTTCCTTCGGATTTTCCCATGTACACATCTTTCTTTTAGAATACTGGAGATAAACACAAACCACAAATGCAGCAAGTACACATCACATCAACCCGACTATATACTGCAATTATAACTGTGAAGGGTGCTTTCGGTGAACCGAGATTCGACGTCAAGACCCTAACATTATTTCGACCGTAAAACTACACCTCCCCCTAATTACCTTTACGCCATACAAGTACCAAGTACTTGGAAAAGCTATTTGTGATTTAAGACATAACGGCTAGTAACTAGAATTTTGTGGAAAGCCTGAAACGCCTATACTAAAAAGAGTTAATCATACAGGAAGGACTAATAACATTAAAATTGGCCGAGTACACATATGCTCGACGGACTGGTAGCTAGAACCGCAGCCGAACCCGAAACTTAACAGCTACTCAAGTTCACCTTTGACTCAGGTTTTAAATCACATGACTCAACCATAACATAATTACTGATCTTAAACTCAGAAAATGCTGACTGACAACAGAGGGCAAACAGATAGCTTATAATTGAAAATATCAGTGAAGGAATGGAAAAATCCGCATTTTTAGTACTATACAACAACTTATTGTACGTAACAAGGTTTTGAGCTGCTATGTATAACAAAATAACTAGACAATATTTATGTCTAGCCCACAGACTTAAAACAAGCCGCCTACCTCAACCAGTACACACTAAACACATTGATTCGTACTTGTTTAAACCACAAGATACACTAAAACAAACTGTACATGAAACGGTTATCTCTATACAAACTACGTGCAATTTGTGAAATTTTTGAAATAATATAGCTTTGAGAGGATATACTTTACTTGAATCCCAGTCAGAATCGAGAGCGGTCAAAAACTCTGAAAAGCCGATCTCGAAAAACAGCTGTTTCTAGACAGAGAGAAGTAGATAACCAGAATCAGTGCCGGAACCACAAAGCAAATGAAAAATAGCTCTAAGTCTTCCTTAACATACATTCTGTGAAACTCTCCTGTCTGCACTCGCGAAAGGCGACGGTTGCTGGTAAACAAAGCCATTTCTATTACGTCACTCATTCGATGGAGGCAGTTCACTATCTCGTTGACACTGGTGTATAGGTTAGCATCCTTTCGACAAACGCAAATGATCGGATACACGAACCAGCCTTCAATCTGCAGCTGGTGAACAAAACCCATCGTCACATATAACAAAAGGTAGATTGATCTTAAAGTGGAAGTACGCCAACCCATTCACTGGATTTTGGTTGTTGCTGATGCGTCAAGGATAATCACTGGCCAACAACTGCAGCAACAATATGACTTATTGGTTAGCAGACGGTAATACTAACTAATCTGTCAGGCAACTTTCATTCTCTGTTTGCAGGTTATGCCCGATGACGGTTAAACACAATCTATTCGTCCATTTAACCAGTACTCTAGAGTTACGTGAAATAGTATCAAGCAGGACCACAATTACCGTGTACAACCAAGAATGTTGACGATCACGCAACGCCTACTTGTATTCTCAAAAGCCAGACTACTAGCTGCTGAAAAGCTAAGAATTCGATCTCATGATAGGTTTGGGTTAATCCTCATCATCGTCACACTTAGTTTCCGAAAAGCACAGAAACGACTGGTGTCCAAATGGTGATAATCGGTGATTGAATATTATTATTATCATTATTATATTATATTATGATCATTACTCATCACTGCATATTTACCATCTGATATCCACCTTAAAAGGTGCAAGAGTCTTTTCAAAAGTCGACTTGATTAATGTACATGACAAAGTCCCTATCATTACGTAAGATACAGCTATTATTAATAACTTTAGACTTAGAGAAGTTTCGGGCATGCCTTCCAGTTTAAAGAATGATGTTCAAACTTTTCAGCGGTTTATTGGTGGCATTTTTTGAGTTTTCGACTGTGCTTGTCTATTTTGACAACTATCTTAACGTGATTCCGGATAAAGAATCAAATCTCCGGCATCTGCAAATTATTTTCAAACGACTTCAAAATCATGGCGTGACTGTTACCCTAATCTAATGTGAAACATTCCTTAAACCTTCTCAGGCATATGTGGGGTTTTTCAGTGGTTTCTGAATTCGGAAGAACAGTTGTAGAAGTTAGATACCCGCTTATCCCAGTTATCCCAAGAAGAAAGCGATTTATCTGGGTAAGAAACGGTTCTTTTACCAATTTAAAGGGTATATATCGTTATCTAGATAATATTACACTGTTTTTTAACACAATTTAACACAATATGTTTCTAATTCTGGAAGAATGCTTCCGTATAAGTCCAAAATTGCACCCTTCCAGTCCAGATTCGAGGTTCATCGTCCAGGGTGTCAAATCAGATATCTGTGACGCCATAATTAAGTATCAATTTAAACAGCATAATACAGTTCAGTAGACAACATAGAAACTTCCGTAAAGGTACAATAATAGAAACTATAACAAAATACAAATATTAACATCACGAAATGGGATTAAACAAAAAATGTAGCACAGAAAGAGTCAGTAAGAACATTTTACAAATATGTACATGGATCGGTTTTCCCAAAACAAGGCCTTCAAATTGGATTCTACATACTATGGACGCTCAAGATATCTGTCCTCCATATGAAGTAGCTATCATTCTGTACTACACAGAACCCACCACCATCTTTATTCACTACAGTATAAGCTTATCAGATGTGACCGTACAGTGAATAACAGCATCCTTAACACCGCTGGATATTCTTTATTATGCTTACCTAGGCTCATTCTCAATACTACACTAAGGGCAGATACCGAGAGCTTTCAAACACAACGTATCAGAGAGTAATGCAGTTACTCCTCCAACTTTTTACGAATAGTAAAATTTTGGAGTTCGCTACCGTCTGAGTTGATCGAGATGATGTCCCATCAGTCTTTCACGAGGAAACTTAGCATAATCCTAGGGACTATAAACAGTATTTTATTTTGCTTTTCTCATATCCTTCTTTTGCCATTTGAATATAGCTGAATTTCTGCCTGAGAACATCAATGGGCTATTGCCTATATATGTGGTAGCCTTTTAAGCAGAAGCTTTTTGATCGCTTCTTCAACCATCTGAACCACTAACAAATACCTAGAACCGTGCCAAAAATCAAGAAGCGCTCAAGGGAATCAATGGGTTTATACTGGACTATGAAAAAGATATTGGATATTGGTTACTGTTTAGGTTCATGACAAAAGGAAAATCTACAGGCCAGAGTGTTCGCACTCTCAAACGTCCAAATAGTGAAGATCTCATCGACTCATAGATGGCCTAAATTTTCACCACTAACTTCGCTAATAATTTAAACCAAGTAACTATAAATTCAGAATTCTATTCAAACACGGATGTAGTGTATAAAAGCCCTCAGTTCAGAGATATGTGACTCGTTCAGGCACTAACTGACGTACCATCAACTCCTAGCTGGATTGAAACCAGCTACTCTCTATCCATTCTTCATAGGTAATAACAGGAAGGACTCAGCCTACTAAAGACCAGTCACATTATCACCAATACTATCAAAGGTAATGGAAGGGCTAGTGAATGAGCAAATTAGGGAGTACATGGGTAAGAACAAAATCCTATGCGAAACTGAACACTGTTTTCAATTTCCAATTTTCTCATAGCACGAGACATTTAGACAAGCTGCTGTGATCGAAAAATACCGGTTCACATTGTTAGGATATTCATCAAATATCCTAAGAGAATTATTTTTCGAAGTCTAATTCTATTGGTCAGTTCCTACTGGTCAATATCATGGTCGTCCTAACTGTCAATGTCACATAATACAATGTTGTTTCCTATTCGACCTAACTGTATAAATATGCATTATCTGTAAAACTTATAATTTCCTTCCTTCATTCCCTTTTACTCGAACCCATAAACAACTTCATTAAGCGGTGTTGTGTTCTGATCTACACGAGATTTGGGAAGAGTATTTGAGGTCGTACTGGAATATCTAAATTCGGTCAATCGGTAGGATTTCGAATAACTACATAGCTGCATTATAACATACATAATATTTCTTTACTTAACAAAAGGGTTCGACACAATATCACATGCATTTCTTATAGCGACAGTTGTGAAAACGGGCTTTTCTGACCCATTATCATCTTGGCGCAGAACCTATCGTGAGAACGGAAGGTTTTGCGCCAAGGTAAACAAGATGCACACAAGTTGGCGAGCTTCGACATCGGTAGTTTCCCAGTACACCTTCATAGGTCCACATTTCTTCCTGATATTCATTAACGATCTTTTAGACATAGTTAGCTCGGCGGCACTGATCTACGCAGACGATGCAAAGTGGTCAGTTATGAAACGAAAAGGATTCGATTTAGCTCCAAAATCACCTTACATCCATAGAGGAATTGGAAGTGAAAAACAGTTTAAAACTAAACCACTGGAAATTCCACATTATGCACATTCCTAACTTTATTTATGACATACGCACGACCATATCTTGAGGTCAGGGAATAGAAAGGAAAACTGTGAAACGGCTGAGTAACAAAACTTATGAAGATAGACTACTGAACTAGAGATTATTCCCTCTCTCAAAATCTTCACTACCAATTAATTAAATTACCTATCCATTTATTTACTCAGTTCTAAAATCTTGTTCTTCTTAGAATTAGCCTTGTTTTCCTTATTATTCTCCACATTGAGAGTAACTGATCTGCGGCCCGGTAACGAGATGGCTTCTAGTATCCAGAAACCCTGCTTTCCTGCATCAAACGTACTGATTCAAATCAAGGGACCTACAAGCTCACAAGCAAATGTCAGCCAACCTGAGTTAGTGCAGCCGCGTGACTAGACCCCCATCCATTGGACGCTACCGAATATCTGGAACCGTACCGAAATAATAAGAATCTAATGCAAAGAAATCGCTTGGTTTATATTAACTAGTGAAAAAAATATTGGATGTTGAACGACCTACATTATTGTCATAGTCACAAGTTAGATGTTGTAATTGATTTCACTCCTTCCAATCACATATTCTCAATTTCATATCTCCAAAGGAGTGAATAGTAACAACTCTCACAGCTTTTTATAACTGTGAGTATTCATAATTTATTTTGACTACACAAAACTCTAAGAAAATGACTAGAATATTTCATAATATTAATAGTATTTATTTAATTTAAAGTCATTTTTCTTTTATAAGGGGATAAGTGGAATTAAAATTTTGATTTATCTGCCACTTTTAGACTCAAAAATAATGATTTTGGATATGGTTCGACACTTTAAGACAGAAAACCTTAGTTCTGTTTTCGTTCTCTTTTATTAAGCTTTTGCACGTGTTCAGTAACCCATAAAGTTATTCAAATCAGGAAATCAACTCTGCTTATTACACCGCGACTATTTATCCTCTCAATGTCGTGATGCAACTGCATAATTGTCAATGTAGTGGACTTCAGAGTTTCACACCAGATAATCTTAGTCCCCAAGCGTGTAAAAACTTGTGGTGTGCTCACGTTTTTCGTCTAAAATTTCACTTTAGCGGTACACATTCCGAACATTTATTTATATAAAAGCATAAATGTGGCCCTAATCCGCCACAAACACTATAATAAAATCCTCATTTACATTCACGACTAATCGCTACCCCCAGGCCACTTTGAGGAAAGGTTAACATCGTTGATTTCGCACCTTTTTTTGTTTCTGTGTGAATGTCCAGTGGACAAAAATAGGTATTATCTTATTAATAGAGCTAAAATTTCTCGTCTTTCATCTTCCACCATTTCATGTCCCAGTATTCTGTTATCTGAATCTTGGTTTCACTCTGGAAACGAGAGAATAGTGAATGGTCTGTGTTAGACTTAACAATATCGGCCTCCCGAATGGTCGACAAACGTTGCTTAAATCACCTGTAGAGGTAATGTCAATCAGTCAGGGCCAACATAGAACTTCGGATGGATGAATACTGTAAACAAAGTCAAAAAAGGCATCATCAACATGGCTATAAGCTCCATGTTCTGACCATAGACCTCTTGAATCTTCGACGGCTATTGCACGCAGTGCGTTTTAGTTTTCAAATTTTGTTCAATGCTGACTCTCAGATTATTGTGAATCTAGAAAGATAACATGCGTACGCATCCGTATCATGGTGTTGCGTGAAGATCATGATGCACTTGAGAGAATTCTCCGGCAACTAAGAAATTATGAATCGTTCAGATAATTTCTGCACGTCATTTTGAAACCGTAGACCATCACCTTCATTTTTTTATCGTTTCCCAAATCTTGACGTCATCACATTTTCGTAGCTAGACAAATTGGAGTTGACCAGTACTCCTTGTTGGGCACCAACAATGATTTCTATCTTAGTTCCTAAAAACCCCTTACAAATAATCTTTTCTACGACTTTAGCAACCACTCTAGTAAGGCTTACAAGTTGATTGTTGTCTGGATTTTGTCTCGTATCTGTTTTGAAGACAGGACTTACTATGGATTTCTTCTAGGATTTTAGTGATTAACCTTGGGTTTTAGATGGCCCAAAAAATATAAAAAAGTGATTTCCGGTAAAATGTGCGACTTCTTTGCGTAATCAAGTTTGTATTTGATTGGATCCCATGTATAAAAAACAAGCTTATTCAACAGAATAAGGATAATGAGTTCATTATCTGTTATAGTATTTATAGTATGTATGGAGGGGTTTGCATAAACTGGAAGGGCACATCTATGCCTTATGGGTTGTAAAAAGATTTCGATAATAGCTAAGCTTTACACAAAGATAATAAAAGGGCTGGTGATATTTTTAAGGTATTTCATGTAGAGGATAATTTGCAGCCTATTGGTTCTCGAGAGCCTTCGCTTTGAATGACCGATACCAGTAAAAGACTTGATACCTAATAACACTTCTTCCCTTTGATTAACGGGAAAATCTAGTTCACTTAATCAGGATTTTAAAGCTTTTGAAATTCGTCAGAAGCCTAGATTGCAAATATGGTCAAAAACCTCGTTTAGTTTAACAAGATTCAGGTCTGTTAACTTTCTGGTAATTAAGATAGACTTTTGAAACCATACTCATAAATCAAATTAGTATGTGATTGGATGCATACTGTCTGTTTATTGTTTTGTAGACTGAGTTAATTGCAACATTAATCTAGCCTAGTGTTAAAGCACACTGGTTTAGTGACATCTCAACTTTTGATATGTATATATAGTGCATTTAAATTCGTCTCAGAAACCAAAGTTCAGCTCATCAGATTTTGCCTGCCATCTCTGACCTACAGAGTTTGATATTTATAGTTTGTTGTCTTGATTAAAAGCTACGATAAATAACATATTCCAGGATATAGTGTTGTATGGTTGATTCGCATTGCGAGAAGGCTCATTAATGAAGAAATTCATAGTTTCTTCCTTGTCTGATTAATTGAAGATGAGTTTTTTTAGCTAACCAAACACTGGAGCACAATGAAAAACGTAAGACAATCGTAGTTTTCAGTTATTTATAAGTCATCATGAATAAGAACTTAGTTCAGGAGTATCTAGCTAAACTCATAGGTAGTAAAACCTGGTTGGTTGATGTCGATGAGTCCTAGTTACTCTAAAAAGCACCATGTATGTTTCAGGTCATTTGGATAAAGCTCTTAAATCAGCTTCCTTGCTATATAATTATAAGACTTTCAAGCAACCTACATTCTCGTCTCTAAAGACAGTTACGGTAGGATTAGGTTAGTAAAAGTATACGAATGGTCAAATCAAAACTGTTAATCTCTGAACTAATTAACGGTTCGTTTGCATCACAGATAAGTTAAGATCAACTACACTAGTATAGTGAGATTAAATCTTTTTTAGTCTACTTCTTTGTACCGAAATCCTCATAAATCTGCTACTTCAAATTGTACTTTATTTGCTTATTCATGATATTCTTCGGATCTTTCTTTTTATATTGTTGTGTAAATATGAATTGTGGCTGCTTAAACAAATATATATGTATATATATAGCTTTTTGTTAATGTATCTTCTCTGAATAAAAGAAAATATTGGTGACTATTCTGTGACTTGTGCATTCGTGTCGCACTTTCGTTGGAATTATTTAGAATAATCTGTAATAGAGTAAACTTTGAATCACTTCAACTAAAATCATAGCAATTTTCTTCTGTGACAATAAAAATAGAATTACAAAGCAGTACGATAATCTAGTTTTGTATTTACTGAGCATCGGACTTTAAGTAAGATTTTATATCACAACTAAACAACTAAGCATAGCTTACGTTACTTAAGATGATTATGAAACAGTTGACTAATTGCCACCAAATGAGTACGAGGGAATGGCGTGCTCGTTCTTTCATTAACTAGCAACTCGACTCCGTTAATGATAAGACTAAGAATTTTGACATTTCAATGAATAATGTCATCAGTTTGCTTCCAATCATTGAGAAAAAACAGTAGTCTTACTGTTGTCCCATATTTTTATTGTTCAATACGACTAGCCAGTTTCATGTACTAACAATCTTCATTATGTATTTAAAAAAATTTTAGTTCAACCATATCTCCAGAAAAATGCCAAGACCAGTTTCAACACAATCTGAACAAGAAGAAAATGCTGAAGCACTTCTACTTGAAGAATATGAACGATTGCATAACCAGTTGCGGATATTACAAAATGAACGTCAAAAACAAATTGATGGATTTACTTTCAAGTTGGGAAAATATAAGTAACAATGTTTTCAAAAACATGTGTATGATTTTTTTTCCTGAAAATACAGAAAATCTACTGAAATGTTAGAAAAAGAAAATGAAGAAATTAAAAATCTTTTATCACTTGTGGACAGTACTTATAATAAAAAACAAGATATGAAATGCATTGAACAATTAAAGCAAATTTTACAAGATCTAGATCATACACATTTACAAATTAACGAACTGAAAGCTTATGGAAAACGATTAGATAGTGAGGTGAATATGTCTACAAAACATAAATTATTATTTTAATTTTTTATTATTTTAATTTATTAATTTTTTATTAATTTTTCGATTAAATAGGCACATAAAATAGAGAAACTTCTTCAAGAGAAACAACAAGTTCGTAGAATACAAGCAAAAAAAGAACTTGAAACTGCTGAACTCAAAGTACAAGTTGAGAAAAAGCTATTAGCTATGGAAAATAATTTACATGAAGTAATTATTTCATAGAATGATATATTTTAAATGAAAAATTTAGAAAAATATGAGATTTTGTGACACTTTAGCATATAACAAAAAAATTCGTCATGAAATAGAATGTGCTCGAAATGAACGAAATATTTATTGTTCGATACATCAAAAATTAAGAGATAAATTAATACATTTAAACAAATTGAAAACAAAGCTAATTCAACAAGCAAGTCTTATATATGATCAAAGGTAATTTGTATATTATTATTATTATTATTATTATTATTATTAAAAAATTAAATCAACTTTTCAAGAGCAGATGCAAAATATAAAAGTAATGCATTAAAAGAGAAAAACGAAAAAGATAATGCTACATTTGAAACTGAAATTAAAGATTTACAAAGAATTATAGATCATAATGATCAATTAAGAAAATTTATGGCAACAAAATCCGATGATCGTTTGGAATGGAAACAAAAAGCAGATAATCGTAGACAAAAATATGGTAAGTCATAATTATTTTGTTGTTTTTAAAGAAGTTTGTTTTGTGACTAAAGGAATGAATTTGTTCAAAGTCTTAGAACAGTTATTAAGATAACATGACTTATGACTTCTCAGATTTACGCACTGGTGATTACTGGCAAAATTAAATGTAAGATTGTCACACTTAGTTATTGTATAGTTTGATAGTTGATAGACACCTAAACGAATTCACTTGTTCGGTAGTTTCGTGTTTTTTCGGTTAAAATCGTAGACAGACTGTTAAATATCTCTTTCTTCATGTTTGTGTATCTATTTTCATAGCATGCTAAGATCTTTTTTTTTCCAGTTCACTAAGAATCAAGTATTGTTATTATCTGACACTTACATTGAATAACTAATGGTTCGTAGTTAAATGAGAATGTCATTGGATAAACTAGTTTATGAAACAAAATAAATCTAAATCAAAACGGAAAAGTGTTCACAAATATGTAGAATCTTGATTATGTAAAGAAATCTACTACAAACTGATACATTTGTACCATGATTACTTACTTTTGCTCAATTGAATTTCTGTGCTATTGTAAGCATATTAAAATGCAAAACACAGAAACAATCATACATACAACTGTGAACACTGGTTATTTGAATAGACTCCAAATAAATGATGATATTTCCGTTTAAAAAAATGAATATGTACCAAAAGTAAACAAGAATTCATTTACTGCGTAGTTTCGCTTCAACTGCTCATCATCTAGAATTAATGAAATAAATTATCAAAGGAAATAGTGTAGATAATTCTTTTCAATAACATTAGATAATCTCTTCATCTATGTGAAGGAAAATAAAATATCATCATACGAACTGTAAAAATGATTAAATGTTTGTATTAAATAATAAGAAAGGAATTCAAAAGCCTGTCATGACAAGTTAAAAAGACGATCGACATTAACAGTTTCATAATAACAACAATAAAAGAAGATTATTGATCAGGTTGAAATGAGTAAAAATCAGATTAAAACTCAAGAAACTAAGAAAAAAACAAATCAATTTCTAATTGTAAACATAAGATATAACGTAACAACACATTGGAAAACTAAGATCATCAGAGAAATGCAAAAGTTTTGGAGGTTTGTGTTTTTACACATTTGAAACCTGGAAGCACTGGGTGACCGTTTCGTCATGGTATGGGACTCATCAACAGTGCGCACCCACGACTTCTGAACCTCACAGGATTCGAACCCTGGATAGGCATTCGCGCACAAGACAGAAGGTCCCGGGTTCGAATCCTGCAAAGTGCAGGAGTCGTGGATGCGCAATGCTGATGAGTCCCATACCAGGACGAAACGGCCGTCCAGTGCTTCCAGGTTTCTAATGGTGATCTAACAATGATTGATTGATGCTTTCAAATGTGTAAAATGCAAAAGTATCAAACGTACAAACCTAGTTTATGCCTTTTGACAACAGTAGATTTAGTATGTTATTGATGAGTTCATTATTGTTTTTTGTTGAATAATTTTGAACGATTCTCAGATTTCATGTTCATGCTTTCTATTGTAAGTAAGAAGTGCACACACGCACTGAAATAAAAGCAACCAAGTTATAGGCTAATAAGTGACAAGATCGAAAGTCGCGCAAGGAAAGGTTGAGTTATGTAGAACCTGGTACATATTACATTAGTTAAGCACAACGAAATGAAAATATTAAGAAAAATAGCAAACTAATAGAAATATTGACACTACTGGTGATAGTAGAAAAGTTTATATTCATTGACAATACGATTCGCGAAAAATGAATTCGTAGCATAAAAAAGTATAAACTAGTTTTAGAAACCAAGTACAAAGTAAGGATATAAAGTAAATGCGTATACGCCAGTGTGACCGATTCCGAGCAACGACATTCAATGCCTGTAAACAATTAGTTACTGTAATCGCACCCAGTCAGATAGTCTACATCTAGCGGGTTTTGCAATCTCACATTATACTCAATAATGACAGGTAAAATAAATGTGCTAGATTTATTTACAGACATTTAATTGAACAAGATAATGTATTGAATATATTGATTCATTCACTTTTTAAAATATGTAACATCTTAAGAAGAATTAACTGCATTGAGTATTATGTACATCGTCTGAAATTTTGATTGATCAAACAAATTGTAAAATATAACACTTAGTGTGATAACTTATAGAGTATTAACCTGCAATCTTTATTAACCAAATGAAAAGAGGATGTAGAAATGTTCCTCAACCATCAAAATAAACATTTCCATCAGCTCTCATAATTGATTTTACTAAGTCGATAATTGACAATACTTTAGAATTACTAACAGCAGTGTTGTTGACTTTGGCATCTAACGGTTAGTTAGTTACACTGAAATTGATCAGTAAATAGTGGCTGTTCACATGTCTATCTAGTACTTTGGTAGGGAGAGAATTTTTATCAATCAGTTCTCAATTGTGACCATTAATTTTAGTGATTACAAAGCGCGTTCTCTGTGTTGGAATGTCAGATTGTTGGTTGTCTTAGATTGTGAATCTATGTGACGTAGGTTCGAGTATCAATAGCAGCGTCGATTCTCTCAAGATTTCAGGCACAAAAACCCAGCTGCAAAGTCTCTTTCCGACTACCTGTAATCATATATCATCTGAAATCATTTTATTTATAGTTGTTCTGTAAACAGACTACCTAGAATTTCAAAATTACTTCACAGTTATTGCTAGCGTTGATTTTTTAGTGATGCACCGGTCATTTTCATAAGTAAAATCACTATTGTTTACTAGATATTCAAATAAAATGATAATTATTCTTTTCTTATTTAGGCTCTACCGGTGAAATAGCACAACAACAGAGATGTCAAACAATACAAGAATATGAATTAACTATGAATCGTTTACAATTAATCACTGGAAAATCTGATATTCAACAAATGACTAGATATTACAGACGTAATGAAGATGATAATTTCACAATGTTTAAATATGTAACTGAATTAAATAATCAGGTAAAAAGAAAATCATTCACTGTGTATACATTTAAAACCATATTATTTTCTAAATTGTAAATTAAATAGATTGAATGTCTAAATGATGATATCGTAAATATTGAGAAAACTATCAGTGAATTTCATGAAGAACAAAAAGAGTTTGAGAAGCAAAGAATCAATAGAATCAATGAATTACAGGTACGTTTTATTTGTGTTATTACTGATTTCGTAAATTAGGATATCATTATTACTATTGATGCAGTTCATGAATCAAGAATAGATTTTTGTATGCAACTTTGAAACATATATTTTATGTTAATATGACTGGTTTAATACTGGTGCTACAAACTGAAGTAAATAGATCAAAATTAAACTCACTCATTTACGCCTGTTACTCCCCCCCCCCAAAAAAAGAGCATACGCCGCCGATCAGTATTTTCTAACCACTTCTGTCCTGGGGCCTTTCGTTCCAGTTCCATCAAATTTTTGTTCATTCTTTTCCTTTGACCTTGAGGGTTCCATGTGATGGCTAGTCTTGTGACGCAGTCCGGTGTTTTTCGCAGTGTGTATCCTATCCACTTCCAACGCTTCTTCCTGATTTCCTCCTCCACTGGAATCTGGTTTGTTCTTCCAAACAGTACGTTGTTGCTGATAGTGTCTGGCCAACGAATACGAAATATTTTGCGTAGACAACTGTTAATAAACACTTGTATCTGACGTATGATGGCTTTCGTAGTTCTCCAAGTTTCCACCCCATTCGGCAGAACTGTCTTGACATTTGTATTGAAAATTCTGATTTTGGTGTTTGTTGACAGTTGTTTTGAGTTCCAGATGTTCTTCAATTGTAGAAATGCTGCTGTTGCTTTGCTTGTTGTATAGGAGAATCTTAATTCTCCCCGTTATGTATGTTGCGACCTGTTGCTACTGAGGCTGCCACTACACTGATCGACTTCTCCTGCATTTGTTATTGAGTGTGAGATAGATGAGCCAGATCATCTGCGAAGGCAAGGTCGTCCAGCTGTATCCTAGCCGTCCCTCTGTATATTGTGCCTCCCTCCAAATGATGACGTCTCCATAATTCAGTCGATCACCAGGAGAAGGAGAAAGGGTGAGAGTAAGCAACCTTGCCTGACACCGGCCTTTACCTCGAACGAGTCTTTCATCTGCCCTACGTGCACGATTTCGCATTTTAATCCATCTTAGGAATTCCGTATGATGTTGACTATCTTCTCAGGCACACTGTAGTGTTGAAAAAGCCTCCACAGTGTTTTCCTATCCACGCTATCGAATGATTTCTCGTAGTCGATGAAGTTGATGTCGAGTGGTGAGTTCCATTCAATCGATTGTTCCACAATGATCCGTAATGTTGCAATTCGGTCGGTGCACGGTCGATCTTTACGGAATTTAGCCTGTTGATCTCGAAGTTCTCACACTTGATGAGATCACCTTTCTTTGGTATCTTGATCAGGTATCATTCTCTGCGGTTTGAGGGTACTTCTTGTGGCCCAGAACCTCCTGACATGTTGAAGTAATTGCCTCCTTAATCTCCCTCCAATTGTCCTCCACGATTGTTCCCATTCCATTGAGTATATCGTGAATAGCCTGGAACCTATTGCTGAGGGTTATTCTGAATTCGTTGAGTTTTTCAGTATCCCAAAGAAGGGCCGTATCGAAATTCTGCGATTTTATTCTCTCCGTTGTCCAGTGTTTCTTGAGTTCCAGTTTCATCTTGACGACCAGCAAGTGGTGATCTGAGGCTATATCAGCTCCTTTCTTGATTCTCACATCCTCCATGGTCCTTCTGAACCTTTTATTGATAAAGATATGGTCGATCTGGTTCTGAGTAGTGTGATGCGATGAAATCCATGTAGCTCTCTGTGTACGTTAGTATGGGAATATTATTGAAGGCACATAGGTTTACAAACTCCTCACCACTTTCGTCCCTTTCCTCCAGTCCATTTCGTCCCGTGATATCTTCATACCCAGTGTTGTCCATGCCAACCTTGGCATTTAGGTCTCCCATCAGAATCGTCAAATCCCTTGGTGAGCATTTCTCGACGATTGACTGCAGCCTTTCGTAGAATTGATCTTTAACGTTGTCATTGTAGTCATTGGTAGGTGCATAGCACTGGATGACGTTGATTATAATGCCGTCTTTCTTCGTCTTAAAGGATGTTTTGATGATCATGGGTCCGTGAGATACCATCCTATCAGTGACTTTTATGCTTGTTTGGATAGCATCAGTGCAACTCCTTGTGTATGTGAGGCATTTTCCTCTTCATGACCAGAGTAAAACAGCAGTTCCTCTGAAGCTAGTCTCAGTTTTCCTAACTGCATCCAATGTGTTTCACTGATTCCAAGCAGCTCCAGGCTGCATCTGTTCATTTCTGCAGCAACTTGGAATGGTCTTCCAGTCTCCCACAATGTTCGAACGCCCATATATCTAAACGAATGGTTTCTCTAGTTGTTAGAAGGGGCATTGGCCTCGTGACTTCCAAGGTAACTCGGCTTTCATCATGAAACATCATAATTCTTCTGAAAGAAGACCTTCTAACTCCCAGGGTAGAGTTAAGATGGTTTGAATTAAGTTTTCTGGTTAGCGTTTTTTTTAGCGAGTTAGTTTTTTATAGGATGGGGTCACCCACCCCAACCCTCCTCCATTATTCGGGCTTGGGATCGTACGTAGGTGACTTAAATAGTTTTGTATTAAATGGAAAACTTAAAACAGCTGTCAGTACGACATTTTCCGCAGCACAAATGATCATTATAAAAAAATCCTATCTTTCATCAAAAACAAAAACATCATGCAAATAGTTGGACTACACTACAGGGCATCTTTCAACTTACATATAATTGTGGAAACATAAACATAAGGAGGAACAATCATGATCTGCATGTAAGGGTGGCTGAGCACGTAACGAAGTGGATGCAAGTTAGATTACAGCATGGACAGATATCTCACTCCGTTAGGAAGCATTTAATTGAGACTAGTCATAGGGTTGATATCAAGTCACATTCTTCGTGTAGAAGTCTTGGCTGTCCGAAAACACTCTGCTCTAACAGGTAACTTACCCAAGTGATACTAATTTATTATCCAGCATGGTTTACACATTGCATATTTTATTAGTGCTGTTTCCGCTTACTTTCTGTTTTATCTGATCAATCTTTTATTTGCATATATTTGATCAGATTGTTCAAAATGCATTGAGCAAACTGATCGCATAGTTCTGATAACCTTTGTTTTCTTACTGTATCATTCAAATTAAATCAGAGGGACCAATTCATTTGGACAGAATTTTGTACCAGATTGTATATTGTTTATGACTTGATCGTTGTTTAATCTGAAATGCCATATTATTACTATTATTCTTCTTCTTATTATTATTGCATTGACATCTTGATTAGGAACAAATCAAAGCCGATAGAGAAGCAGCCAATGCAGCTGAAAATCGTGCAATACATATTCACAAATTATTAGATCAAATTAAAAAAGAAATTAAACAATTAACTATAAAACTTGGTTGTGATTTATCTAGAATAACTGAAATGCTTGGCGGTGATGGTGATGAAATCACTGAAAGAAATTTAATGCTTTATTTGAATATATTAGAACAAAGAGTGGATGAATTATTATCAGTTAAATGTTATTCACAAACTAAAGTAAGAATTAGTAGTAAGGTATTAATTTATAAGATTTTTCATTTTTGGTGATTATTTTTTTATTTGCAGGAGGAATTCAATGGAAATTACAGTTTAGTTAAAGGCATGAATAGCTCAGTAGTTTACGTCTCTGACTGTAAAGCTAGTCGACAAAGGATCAAATCCATTTGGGATTTCAAATTCCATCAAGAATACAAAACCTAAGTTCATGAATCCGTGTCAACTGCCTCCAACAACCAACTTAAACGTTCATTGTGTTAGAACATGCACTCATTGTTATGACTACTTTGATAATGTTCACGATTTGATTTTGTTTATATTTAGTAACAGTTATCAGTGTAGAATAAGACACGAGTTTTATTCTGTCCCAAGAAATGAGCGTCAATTTTCTGTTTTAATGAAAACATCATAGGATATTTAACGATAGATACATTTAGTTTGGTGATACCCAGAAAGTAGTAGCTGGACAAGTTATATTCACTTCATTGAGAACCTTTAGTAAATAAAAATATATTTACATTCAAAATCTCACTACCTATTATTAAATCGAGAGGATTGAACAACTTTGTTCGATAAGAAATTATTGATCGATGAAACTGGTGTTCTGAAATATAACATTTATATGACCTATTACCATTGGGACATCTCACACAATTAAAACAAATCGAATTGAGAAAGGATCGAAATCGCTTAACATATATATATATATATATATATATATATATATATATTCTGTCATCGTTTTATAGCACATAACTATTTATTCTCAGTAACCTTTTCAACAGTTCGCTTCAAATTGATCTACAAAGACTAGTCATTCACTAAAAGGTTATCCAATAAGCTAGTAGAATTTGTTATTCCCATCGATTTCCATACTGTATTACAATAAAATTTATTTCAATTAATGTGATAAGAATTCTATGGTATAGCATAAGTGAAAAATTTCAAACATGATAGATATCTAATGTGAGCAAATCATTTTATCAGTTTATATTATATCTTTTACATATTTGAAATCATCAATCAATCATTGTTAGACCACCGTTAGAAACTTGGAAGCACTGGACGGCCGTTTCGTCCTGGTATGGGACTCATCAGCAGTGCGCATCAACGACTCATGCACCTCGCAGGATTCGAACCCGAAACCTTCGGTATTGTGTGCGAACGCCTAACCATCGGACCACTGGGCCGGTATCCAACGGTGTCTGATTGATCTACGGATTTTGCGCTACCTCACCCATTTGTCTTTGTCCAGTGCTTCCAGGTTTCTAACGGTGGTCTAACAATGATTGACTGATGATTTCAAATGTGTAAAAACACAAACCTCCAAAACTTTGCCCGAAAATTATATTGTATCATTTGCTGAACTGACAAATTACATCTTTCTGGATAATATTTTAGGGAAATGCTGATGAGATGAATCAAGACGATTTGAAGATAATGATGGCACCGAATTTCATGGAAGCTGTAAGAACAAACAGAGATGCATCACTTGACTTACCATCGTTACAGTAAGTGGATATATTTTGTTAGGATTAAAAACTAAGTAGTGGTAGGATAATTTTTTATTGAAGTGAAATCTATTTAGTTATTTTTTGAATTTGTAGTCTTTTATTTTAGTTTAGCATATTCTTATACTCCAATTTGCATGATGTAAGCATCCAATAATAATCAGTTGTACCTTCCACTAGCGTATAAATCACTTCAGAATATCGGTATCGATTTAATTTTTATCATTCCTAACATTTTCACTATTTTCCCAGTTAATAAATTTATTATTTTAACAAATATATCAGTTAACCACTTTGCAACTCTGATTCACACCTGAATTCTGATAAATGACAATTTTGTGCTTTTATCATGTAGCAATGCATATTGATGCGTCTAAGAAATGTATTCAAACTTTGTGACAGTATCATCACCTCAGTTATTATTCCATCATACATTTATTTGGCACTGTCAAATACTCCATGTGTTACCTTGATCATGTGTAAGGTAGAATATTTGTTTCTATATGCTTACTTCTACCTCTTTCACGTTTAAAAAATTTATTCAGCTAGTTATTAGCTAAGTCAGTATACTGCTGAACTCCAAATTTTATTTTTTTACTGAAAATTTTAAACATTCACACATCCTTATTTTATGCAGTATGATTCATTCAAACAAGGTAACATTTCACACTGTTCAAACTTTTATCACTTTCGGAAAATAGTTTTCAAACATTCATTGTATTCTGAATTATTCATCTGAAAAGTAATAATCCACTTATCACTGAAACCAAAGGTCTCGGATTCACTTCCTGGTAGAATCATGAATTCACTTTCCTGAGGCTTATACTACGAGGAAACTATTGCATGTATGCTCTAGAATTTAGTAGTTACTCAATTGGTGTTCATTAATGATGACATTCAACTTTAGTTGATCGTTACATATTTGTTAACCAGAGATTTGGTTACGATAGATTTTAGACCACGAACTGATTTTGGTTAAACCACCAATGGAAATCTGAAAACACTAGATGGCAACTCCTTCCTATAGTGGAAATCTTCATCCATAAACCCGGACCTAGGAGTCAAACTCAGGAACCTCATTATCTCACGCTAACAGCAAACTTCTAAATTACTGACCTGGCACCCAATGGTGTCAATTTTTTAGCTTCAGTCAGTTTACAACATTGAGCGATCATGTTTCATTAATTGCGGTGGATAACTGTTTTATATCCGAGATAGTCGTACTACACTGGTCACAGCTTCTCATTAGACCCTCAGAAATTTGTATCGAGAAGCTATTCGCTAGTGAGTTTAGGACTATAATCAGTACATAGCATTTTGTAGATGTTTTTGACTTTATATCCATGAAAATGCTATAATTCTTCACAAAATTCGATACTGATAAATATTTAATTTATAATGGTATTAAAGCAACCATATACTACTTTTCACATTGTTAAGAACTTGGTATTACTATCATTTTAACTGTTGCCACTTATTAATTTTTATGGGTTTAGCTTCAAGAACGAAACTACGAAAAATATCTATTACTTCTGGTCAAGTTATGTAATAATTTTCCATCACGTTCACAGGACTACCTAGTCAGAAGAACATTGATTTTAAGATTAGTGAATTGAATTAGCTCTGATAAGCTAACAGTTAAGGAATTTTCTATCCAGGTAAAAAATAGTTGCTTAAAATTTTCGATCATACACTATGTGCAAGATGTTCACGTCTCTAGTGCTTTCAACATAAATACACAAATCCAAACTATGCTGAATACCATGTTTTGTCTCTACTTCTTATTATATAGTCAGTTCCATTTCAAACAACCAACTCAACTTTACTAAATCAAATATATTAAACTTGTGTTGCTAAGTATACTAGTGTGCTTATTAACTTTAGACAATTTGGAACTGATAAGAAAACTCTGAATTCCTCTTATTCTTCAAATCTTTTATCATCCTTTTTATGTTTGAACATAGTTTACCTGTAAAAATATACTCTACTACTACTATCTGAAGTTTGTGCTGATGATGTTTTTCAGAAGAACAATGAAAGCTCCACAACCAAAACATCCAGCTCAGAGAACCAAACACCACCACCACCACAATCATCCACCTGAGCTACAAATCTTCTCCACCATCTCATACTCTACTACCTCATAAATGACGCCTAGACTATTCAATCTATAAAGTTTTTGTTCTGTTTAAAAATGTTAATTTTAATGTGTGACAGAATCATCGTCCAAAAATAAAAATCGCCTTAGTCTTGATAAAGAAAGTATAAATTTTCTAGTAAAGAAAATTATAAATAGGGAGATTTTCTATAACTCATAAAATCCCATGAATAGGTGTTGCTTAGAAAAATTCAATTAAGGGTAAATGTTTTGAGTAAACTCTTACTGAGTGAGCATTATGAGATGTTTGTGAATAACTATGAGATTATCGAATAAGGTATTCAAGATTACATGAAATTTTTGAAAAGAAAATTTGCATTAAATATTCCGGTTACTGATTTTAAAGTGTTACATTATCTCTCTATTCATCTTCCATGTTATATATAGATATATATATCTTTTTATCCATAAAATTTATGTACACCTTTATTCTCGTACTCATCGTTTTATAATAATGAAATTTTCACAGCTTATAAAATGATTGACTTGTTCAAAAGGATTGATGTAGTAGTTATATTTGTTTGTGTTATTTTATTCCCATGGTATATCTCAAATGATAATTTTTGTTTTCGAATCTATGATGATCTAGTTTAAGTTCATAGTGTGAATGTTTTGTACTCGAAAAACTACAACGACAATTACTCAACTAGAACGCCAATACCTGGCTACCCCCACCAGATCAAGTAATCGAGACAGCTATCTAATAGTTGAAAGAAACAGCTATCTACTAATTTCTGATTTTCAGTAGTTGTTTATAAGACTACTTCGTGATGTAAACAACTATGAACAATATTGAAATAATAAGTTCAGGTTTCAATTCTTCATATTTGCACAGTTACAAAAACTATGCAATCTATACATTTCAAGAAATAGGAAAAACGTCATCAGAATCATACATGTTTATTTAATCTACAGACATATCAAGACGTCCGAAGAACAAGTTATCCAATATACATCGTAAGAACACATATCTACAATGAAAAGCTAATTGGAATGAGAATTGATTTGCTCATGATTTCTAATTTTTCAATGAATAATACACTCATTTAAAGAAAAAATATTTGTAGTATATATATAAACCAAATTAAAACATATTACTTACTTACTTACTTACTTACGCCTGTTACCCCCAATGGAGCATAGGACGTCCACCAGTTTTCGCCAACCAACTCTATCCTGGGCTTCCTTCTCCAGTTCTGTCCTATGTTTGTTAATTCCTCTCATATCTTTCTCTATTTCTCGGCGTAATCTGTTCCTTGGCCTTACTCTTTTCGTTTTGCCTTGAGGGTTCCATGTAAGGGCTTGTCTCGTGACGCAGTTAGGTGCTTTCCTCAATGTGTGCCCTATCCACTTCCACCGCTTCTTCCTGATTTCCTCCACCACTAGAATCTGGTTTGTTCTGTTCAATAGTAAGTTGTTGCTGATGGTGTCTGGCCAAGGAATCCGAAGTATTTTGCGTAGACAACTGTTCATAAATACTTGTATCTTCTGGATATTACTCAGATAAAAGTTTCAATAACTCTTTTTTTATATTTTTCAAGAGATGAAGATGATATGAATGATGATGAGGATACACAAATATCAATCCGTCCATTATCACATGATGAAATAATTGGTCGAGTTACGCTTCAATTACAAAAGTTGGAAGAAAAGCATACACCTACGCAGCACGCCAATAAATCTTATAGTCGAGTTTCATCAGGCAATAGGCGATTAAAACTTCATGGGTAAATCAAGGCGAATTCTTTTTTTAAGAAAATGATGATGATAATGATAATAATGGTAATTATAGATTACTTTTTTTTAAAAAAAAGTAACAATTCCATCCCATTTTTAAGTAGGGACATATTTAAAATTCATACTGTTTGCATATATGATTGATATCATTTTCATGGTTACGCTGATGACCATAAATCAATATATTATGTTTTGGAGTCGTTTTTTTTCCTGTTTCTTTTGAGGCAAATAGACTTGTGGTTATATTTAACGCATCTTAACACGGCTGGCTATGGGCTACACTGTGTGAAGGCTAGTGATACTGTATGAAGGTTAAAGTAGGCGAAGTGGAGTTTGATCCTACTGTGACTTGATGGTTGATGTAAAAAAGTGCTACAACCAAAAAACAGTAACATCATAAGAGGAGGAAAGTCTTATTTCCTAAACATTTTGTCATCAAATTTGAATTAGACACAGAGTACAAAGAAAGTTTTCCTAGACAATCAATGTACTGAAATCTGATCGATACAGTTAAGAATTTAACAGTTAGCATTAGTTAGTGGGACACAAGAGGATATTGAAGTGCCGTTGAAAGAGGATAAGACTTTATGAGGGCTATCAATTTCTTAAATACTTAGAACAAAAGTAACTAGGTCAAGTGAAACAGAAATATGAATGGTGTTTTGTATTATCGACCATATTATAGCTAGAATACAAAGTGGTGATCAGTTCGACAATTTTATTTGCTTGGAATACCTCATATTGAAAACTATCATCCTAGACATTTTGTTGATGAGAACACTGAAGGAACATTTGACAAGGAAGGAAACCGGAATATTTGTTGCCAAAATATAGATTCATTTGAAATCATGATTTATGGGTAAAATAACGAAAGTACTTTAGTTTATTTCAGTTCATTTTATATCCATATTCAGTCATGCATATGCTGTATACACTAAGGAAACTCCATTACTAACCATATATGAATCATTTATACCGTAAACATAATTCACTATCATCATGGAGACTTAAAGATTTTATGGACGGGTTTTTTGACGATCGAAATGAATGAAAAAGACACCAATCGATAGATGGACCGCAGTATAACAATATGCTCGCTCACTAGATTAATAGTTAAAATAAGCCCTTGAATGATCAGACATCAAAGACCAGACTACTAAACAGAGTATGTTAAAATAACATGTTTACACACAAAATATGAGCGCAAAATAAACATGATAAAATGTCAACGGTGACAGGAGGAAGTCAGTTTGTAAGTCACTTACCGTTCAATCAATTAAAACTTTAATATTACATTACGCGGTTGTGAAGATTATTAAGTTACACATTTGAAATTATGAATCGATCAATGTTAGACCACCATCAGAAACCTAGAAGCATTGGACGGTCGTTTCGTCCTGATATGGGACTCGTCAGCAGTGCGCATCCACGACTTCTGCACTTCGCGGAATTCGAAGCCAGGACCTTTGGTCTAGTGGGAAGTTGTGACCAACGAAGTTCAACCTGTTCGGATGTAGACAGTAACTAACGAAGACACTTTAATATTAAACAATTTTCGAGCGTCGTAACAGCCACTGAGATGATGGACAATATCTGAAGCTCATGACAAGAATATTTTATCATCTAAACAGGATAATGTAGTTGTGAAGCTTATGTTGCCTCCTGGACATCATCGGCAGATATTTTACAGTTATGTTGTGTTATGATGATGTTCAGAATGACAATGAAAGCTTCGTTGCTAAAGCACCCCATTCAGAGAATCAAGACATCCTCGACATATTTTGCTAGCCAGTCAGTAGACTTGAATAAACCATAGTAACTAAATCATATTTTGAAATTTATCTCTATATATTTATTTAAACACAAAGGCGTTGATACAAAGGGTCACCCAAATATTTTCTCGCGAGGACTGGGATACTACACGGACGCCCTAAACCGAAGCAGGTGGTTTTCTGAAGGGGCCACTCACCGAATCTTTGACCTGCAGGTCTAATTCATACGGCAGTGGAGCAGTGTAAGCAGATTTAGCCCTATGGTAGCGGCTGACCAATAATAGATTCATAAACCAGTCGTTCCATCGGGATCCTGGAGCTAATGCTCACCATTGCTTTAGAGTGGATCCGTATTCGCCAACTCTGTTTGAATGCTGGATATTCGATCTTCGTCCTCATACTGATGGAAATTAATAAGCACTAGGTAGCTGTTTCACAATAGTTTTTCACTCTTCATCAGTGGGCACTTATCGTAATATGGAAATTTAATCTAGGATCGTAAAAATCGTCTTTTGACCAGTGAATCTAACCAATAGTATACAATCCTTAGCTTCCATCAGTATTCGATATAGTGTGACACCCGCTCAATATCATTAGCAATATCTGTCTCTTTTATCATATTTACACTCCACTAGTCACTAATTAACAATTAAACTTCGGAAATTTACTTCGAAGTTAACCAATGATGAGTATGATTAATTGTACAGATCAGTTCAACTTTTCTATTCTGATTCAATGTTGTATAGCGAATCAGCATCTGAAAGCTTCAGCAAAAGTCATGATAAACTAGTAACATCAGAAAAGTTAAAGATATATCCAGAATTAAAAGTAGCTAACGAATACACACAAATAAGAAGTATCGAATTGAACAAACGGATAGAATTTCAAGTACCAAAACAAAACTTTTTCTGAATAATTTGATTCCATAGTTTATGGAAAGAGCCAGTCAAATGAGGCCGTCAGAGGTAGAAGAAGGATCTAATGAATGACATGGGGTTGAGACCAATTATATCGCATATCTCCATGTTTTCTAAACAGATGATGAATACCCCTAATCTGTTCAACAACCTATTTGTCAATTTGAGACTTTATCACTGGATATGTATTGCTACACACGAGATTAAAGGTTAGACAGAATTAAACAGACAAAAACAACCTTCAACTTTGGGATAATCTACTTCTACCCAGTTTCCTATAACTCACGTCACCGCAAAGACAAGAAATTAACGAAAGCAATGAAAAGAATGACAGTTATGAATAAATGACAATGATAGAAAGAAACGACAAAAAATGTATTCTAATTACTGAACTGGTTTTGAGGTAATATTATTTGAGGTTTCCTGAAGTTTGAGCCATAATTCAGCGAAATTTCGCACTAGCATATAAAAGCCTACACGGTTGAAAGAAATTATGATATTTTGTCTGGTGTTGCTTTCCGCTAGCAAGTTACAAGAAAACAAACAGCTCACTATCAAGCCATTCATCATAAGTTCGATTATTAAGATAAACAGAAAACCTACTCACAAACGCAAGACTTGGCATTTATGTGTACAAACCCAAAAAGAGTTAAACTCGCTCACCAGGTACATGGGTATAAAACACTCCAAATGTGTCGGCTAACAATGCTGTCCAGTCACTTAAACCAAGTTAGTTGGAGTGTGGGTTGAGCGTGTTGATCGTTTCATATATACCGGGAGTCTCGTCAGTGCCGACGGCCTGGTGACTGACGAAATCTCAGCTCGGATACAGAAGGCTCGATTGGCTTCTGCCAACCTGCGTCACTTATGGCGTAGACGAGATATCCGTTTGCTGACTAAAGCACGAGTGTACTGTGCAGCAGTTCGCTCCGTCCTCCTATATGGCTGTGAAACATGGCCGGTCAGAATAGAAGATATTCGGTTAGTGGTTTTCGATCATAGGTGTCTCCGAAACATTGCTCGAGCATCGTGGGACAGCCTAGTAAGCAACTACCACATGTCCCAACCACCTCAACTGATGAAGTTGAACGAAAGCTAGGGGTGGCCAGACCAAAACATAGCACAAATCCATGAAGTCACTGACAAGTGGACTGAGTCATGTCGGTAGGTGTCGACTACCTGGTTGGGGCCCACGAGATGATAATAATCGGTGGTTAGAGACCCTGAATGACGGCTCAAAATCGTTTGCAATGGCGCAGGTGCATTTACTCTTTGTGTTCTTGGAAATTCTAACCTTCTGAATTCCTCATTACCTCTATCTTTCTCTTTCTAACTTTATCTCACTGAATTATACTTCTTGAATAACATCTTCGAACCCTAATCTCTCCGATTACTTCTAATACTTTTACTACCTCTACTACTATGAGATTTGAATTGACAATTATATCTCTGTGCTAATGTGGTATGGCAATTTGAACTGATGTACGTACGCACGAAGTTCCAAGTTGCTGTTGATGATGGAGTGTGGGTTGGTATCGATGGACCTGGTGACTGGAATACGGACGCCTTAAACGCTAAACCACCTCTCTGTTAATACCGGCTTCCACACTACATCAAGTTGCATATTGAAGTAGTAGAAGCATCTGTGACAGTGAAAGGATTAGAGATAGAGAATATGATTCGAGAATGAATTTGTGCAATAAAATGTATAAAGTAATCTTAAAATCCCGAGTATGAGAGAAGACAGAACGAATACATCTGCCGTGTAAAACGGATTTTGGACGAAGTCACCGAACGTCTCCAATCAGTGGTTACAATAATTATCAACACCAATTAGAGGTAGTCAGTACCTAACAACATGACTAAGATCAACTGACTTAATTAAATGATGCGATTCGATCTGACTGCTCCAGACTTTTTCCAAACTTAAGACTTTACCAGCAAATTCTCATCGAGATGAGCAGTGACTGCACATAACACACAACTAGCCCCTGAAAACCATATCATTGTTGGCTATGATTCAACCAGTATTGTTCGAGTAAGAAGCTTTCACAATTTCTATGTACTTCTGAGCATCATTTGGAGAAAGTCTCAACAAATGGAGCACAATGGTGTCCTCAAGTCATAAAGTACGAATAGAGTTAGACGTCAGTAAGCCTTTGTGTGAAAGCCTAATGGAGCGTTAATATTTGACCAATAAAAACACATTCAGATCCAAAAATAGCCTGATTTTCAATGGCTTTGCTATTTAAAAACATTAGTTAAACATTGAAAGATTATTGAGGCTGGCATTTCGGAGACTACTGGACAAACTAATTCCACTGCAGTTGTCAACAACAGAGTTTTAGCTCTCCTCTTCAAACTAGAACAATTAACGACCGAGACTAATCAAATGGAATAGCTATACACTAGACTAGCTAATATATCGCTCAACCTTACTATGAACGTGGATATGCTTTAAGATTTCTGGGAATGAACTACTCTGACAAACTTCGGATTACCTTAAGCCTTCTCAAAAAAAACGACATCTTTCATAAGGGTATCGACAACCGGTGACTGGTTTAAATCAGATTTTGAAGCTGTTGACAATATAAACTATGAATTTTTCAGATTTTGAAAATATAAGGGTTCTATAGAGCGAAATGTAAGAGGATTTAAGATTCGCCTATTCGCGTTAACTAGTATATACGAAAGTATGATTCATTTTGAACAATTTTACTTTCTCAATAAAGTATAGTCAATCAATCAATGGACACGTAAAACTTCGTACGCACGTACATCAGTTCAAATTGCCATACCACATTAGCACAGAGATATAATTGTCAATTCAAATCTCATAGTAGTAGAGGTAGTAAAAGTATTAGAAGTAATCGGAGAGATTAGGGTTCGAAGATGTTATTCAAGAAGTATAATTCAGTGAGATAAAGTTAGAAAGAGAAAGATAGAGGTAATGAGGAATTCAGAAGGTTAGAATTTCCAAGAACACAAAGAGTAAATGCACCTGCGCCATTGCAAACGATTTTGAGCCGTCATTCAGGGTCTCTAACCACCGATTATTATCATCTCGTGGGCCCCAACCAGGTAGTCGACACCTACCGACATGACTCAGTCCACTTGTCAGTGACTTCATGGATTTGTGCTATGTTTTGGTCTGGCCACCCCTAGCTTTCGTTCAACCCATTTCTACACCGCAAAATATAGCTCGACGTGGCAGTCGGTGGTTAGGCAAAATAAAGTACAGATGAGTAGACGATTAGACTTTAAGCTGATGAACAAAATCTGAAGCAAATTAGTATATTTTGTATGTACAAAGTATATATTTCTACCATTAATCGTCAAATTTATTCATACACAAAAATGGTTGAGAAAGTGAGAATAACTATCTACAAAAATTTACGATACAGCTGACAAAGGTCCATCCTGTGTAATCTCCTCTACATCGACTTTATGAAGTTCATTTTCTAACGGTTTCGTTCCTCGAACAATATTGCCATTGTGGTCAACCACGAAGTTATAATCGACAATATCAGAATTCATGATTTCGTCAATTTTGTCATCTAAATTCTTTTCTGTAATCATATGTTCAGATAACATCTGTAAAAAAAACAAGTGCGGTTGTGAATAATGGTTCTAAAGAACTAATATAAAATGTCAATTTGTTCTTGATAATCAAACGTGAATGGTTATTTAAAAATTGATATGACCATTGAGACGATGTTCAGGAAGAACATAAATATTTTTGTTATATAAGGAGTATAACATTCGACTTTTAACCACAGTTTACTGAGTTTTGACCTTTTTTAACTATTTCCGTTTAGGTAACCGTGTAGTATAACTGACCATGTGAAAGTATGGCTTACAGTTGAATACATTATCGAGTTACTTACTGACTTAATGACGCCTGTTACCCCCAATGGAGAATTGTCAATTTGCACTGACTAATTTATTAAAAGGCATAACAACGAGAAATATTGATTTAACTGAACACAAAAATTTAGTACAAATGGACAACAAAATACATATACTAGAATACGAAAGTCATGTAGCGAAGAGAAATAAGGAGGATGATGAGTATAGTCGATTCTAAAGCACATCAATGACAACATTAAACAGAAATGGAGAAAGTGGACAGCCCTGACAAACACAAATGAAAATTATCGATTCCGATGACAGTTCGCCATAAGCTCACACTGAACCATTAGTGGTCGAGTAGAGTCTGTATAAGGTTAATGTACTTCCTTGGTACACCTTTCAATGACAAACACTCCCCTAGAACCTCATGACCGACAGAGTCGAATGTCTTCTTAAGGCACAGTAATACAACTATTGTGGGACACCGAAATGTGTGCCTGTGTTTCAGGGCCTTTCGAAGCGTATGTGGTCTATACAGGCACTTCCAGTTCTGAAACTGGCGTGGTTTTCTCGAGTGTACTCTTCATGAGCTCCAGTTAGGCGTCATAGTATTATTTAGGCTAATATTTTAGACACTTTAAGAGTTAAAATAGTCTTCTAGTCATAATCACAAAGGAGTCAGATTGCTTTCTAACAGACTCGGATGATTAGCGATTGCTACCAGTCGGATGGGATTACACACGATTCCCAGATTTTACCCAAGATCTCGGTCAATCGAACTGCTCAAACTGGACTACCATCCTTAAAAATCTTAGGGGTCAATCAATTAGCACCAGCTGCTTGCCCTCGTCAGTCACCGGGCCATCAGCACTGATGAGACTCAGATAAGTGAAGCGGTCGACACGCTTGATTACTTCACTCCCTATCACTAATTCAGGTACCGACGCTAGCCAATCTTGAAGCAATATTTTGCATTCCGAGGGGGGAAATCTCATCCCGAATATGCTTGCATAGTTGCTTAAGATAGTCAGAAGACTGCATTTTGTCAGCGTCTTCACCAAGTAGGACTATGTCATCGGCATATTCTAAGGCAACAACCCATTTTCCTGGTGGAAAGTCCACTTCTGAAAATTCAGACGAAGATAAATATTATATCTAGGAGCATGTCTATGACAAAGTTAAACAGATATTGAGAGAGTGGACATCCCTGACGGACAACAGTTGAGGTAATCAATCCCGATGACATTTCGCCATAAGCTCTCACTCGACCAGTGGTGTTCGAGTCGAATGTCCCCGATCAACAGAGTCAAATGCTGCTTTAAGGTAGAGAAATACTACTACTGTGGGGCGTCTGAACGTGTGTCTGTGTTCTAGGACCTGACGTAGTGTGAAGATGTGGTCTATACAGCCACGTCCAGGTCCGAAACCAGCCTGGTTTTCTCTAGTCTGCTCTTCACGAACTCTAGTTAGGCGTCGGAGCATTATTGAGGCCAATATTTTAGATACTATATTAGTTAGACTTATTCCCCTGTGATTGTCACAAGAGGACTTTTGTCCTTTCTTTTAAACTGGGACAATCAGGAATTGAGACCAGTCAGACGGGACTACGCCCAGTTAGCAGATTCCAACTAAGATCTCGGTCAATCTAACTGTTAAAACTGGCCCACTATATTTAAAAATCTCAGGGGTAAGCCTATCAGGCCCTGCTTCTCTACCCCAATTTAGATTTCCTATAGCTTTTTCGACTTCATAAAGACTTGGAGGACTAGCAGATACCAATGCTGTTCCCACAGCTTCTTGGATATCATTCCGACCTGCCTCCGGAAGGAAATCAATTAAATGACCGCTTTCCAGCTGTTCCTGAAATATATTCTTTGCTTTACCATTAAGTAAAACCCTAAGAGGTTTTCTTGCGGTGTCTTTCCCATGTCCGGTAAGTCGCAAACAAATACGCGCTCGCAATAGAGTATGATCTGAATCTAAACATGTGCCCCAGAAAGAGCGACAGTCCTACATCGAACTCCTCCATCGGTGGCTGACGGCGATGTGATCTAGTTGGGTCCAGCGTTGTGACAACTCCCGGGGTCGCCAGGTCAAAAGATGCTTTTCCTTATTCCTAAAGTTAGTATTTGCTAGAAATAGGTGGTTATCTGAGGATAGTTGCAGCAGACGGTCGCCATTGTCTGTTCTCTGAGCCGCGACAACATAACATCCACCTAGGTGTCTTTCATCGTCACTTATTCTACCTACTTGAGCATTGAAGTCATCAGCCATTATTACTATATCAGACCGCTTAACATTTTGGAGCAGGTCCAAAAGCTTTCTTTAGAATTCATTTTTCACCTCGTCTGGACCGCAGTCAGTGGGAGCGTAGGTTGATACGACGAAGAGGCGACGGCGAGTGTCCCTATCTTCATGAGTCCTTACTGTCCCATTCAGTCTGACAGCACACAAGCGACTATCTACTGGGATCCAGTCAAGGAGAGCTAGTTCTGCCCTACGGCTCAATGCTGTACCTACACCAGCGAGACCCCGGGAAGCAGCATCAGGGCTTCCAGATACGCGAAGGGTAAATCGAGTTGCTTCTTTATCTTGACATTTTGATGTTAAGCGAATGACGCTACTCGGATCCTGTATGCGTGTTTCCGAGACGCAGCATACATCGATGGCGCGAGATTCTAAAGTCTTAGCTGAAGAAGCCTGTTGCCCTATTTGACACAATCTCTGTACATTAACAGCTCCATGTAATTTAGAACGAGGTTCCAGGAGACGAAGAATAACGTTTCATGAACTCGAGACGTGTGCATCCGCGGCGCGGTAACAAAGGAATGAAAGAATAATTGACCGAGGGGATAAAAGAGTTATTAAAAGGTGTAGGAAGGATTTGATTGTGACTAATTTGGCCTCATGTGATATTACGGGTATAAGGGCGGGTGTCACTTCCCTGGTTCCCCATACCGTGGAAGCATGTTCTTGAGGAACCCGAAAATGAAATTTGGTTAGCATTAGTCAGGGCAACGTGCGGGCGACTGCAGAGCCCTAGAGACAACTGCTTGAGGTCGGCTACGCATAGCCATTTTTACATATAGTTTGTCAAGTGCTAGCTCCACGTTTTAAGTGGCCTTACCGCCGGAGACGGAAATCCGTGAGGTTAGGTGAGGTGTGACATTTTTAGGGTCGACCTTTTCCAACCCCGTTCTTCCTTGTGAGAAGTCAGAATCATTGCAGATGCTGGTTGTCCGAGGGAAACACCTTTTTGCTTCATGCTCTCCTACAGTCGGTAGTGTGACTTCACCCTCAGACCTTGATTTGCTGCTTGTAATCTTACCGTTCTCCACTCGACGTGCCTGGCATGGTAGGACCTACAGGAACATATGTTCTGGCCAACATAGATCGGCTGGGTTATCATGATAGGCAAGCCTGACCATCACGTTGGGAAGTGGTGAGTACGATGAAAAAAAACAGTACATATTGACGCAAGTGAACCAGACTAGTAGATAAAAGAACAAACGGTTAGAGAGAAACATAACCACAAGGAATCCCTCCAGATAGAATGTTCCTCTCACACTTATAAATATGAAAGGATATTATAGTACGATTACTATTTTTTTTCTATCATGCGTCGCATCTGGTAATGTGTTAAGCCACTGAAATGCACTACTTCTTGGACTCCAACCAAAGAGTTGAGATGAATAGAGAAATCCCAGTGCCCTGTTATAAATTGACCACATTTCTGTTTTTCCAACTAGTTCCAGAGTCAGCAAATAATACTCAATGTAGAAACCACTGGAGTGCAGTTTGTAACCAGTGTCCAAACCGCAGAAGTGGATGTTTCAAGATGATGATGTTAAATGAGTTACTGTTACTGAACCCGAACACACATTGCTAAATATATTCATTACCAATATGGTGTTACCGCTTGTGGCAGTAGAAATATTGGCAATAATGATTCTACTACATCTATCACTATTGAATTTAAATTGAGAATTACGTCTCTGCGCTAATATGGTATGGCAACATACGAATTTCTACGTCGTAGCTGACTAACTGTTACCGCTAGGTGTTGGCGATCCTTTAGAACCAACGATGATTGAACACTGAGTCGCTTAATATTCTCAGATCCAAGAAAACAGATTTTGAAAGCAAAGATTAGAAATGTTCTAACTGATGCATTGTAACTCTTATCTTTCACATACTTACATCATGAAGGTGCTAAGATACGCCAGATTAATATGGGCTACTCTAGATTTCATCAAGTAGACTGATCTCAGCCGACATTGTCACCACTATTCACACAGATAGAATGAGAAATCCTACTCACTACCTTTTGCAATGAGGGTTTTGTTTACGAAATCGAGAGGGTGAAAACCGAATTTCCGATGCTCAAACTGAGTTGGTGCAAACGGAGGATCCACATGGGGAAGTTGGAAAACCTTATCCTAAATCAATGTTGCAGATGAACTCCGGGAACCACAGAGAACGAATGGTGTACGAAACAATTATTGGTTACCGGCTATCGTAAAACTGCATCTCCTAAAGTTGCTTCACCGTCTCATGGATTAGATCCCCGGGGTCGAACGCTCGGGAAGTAACCCTCTAAAAAACTACGTGCTTCGGCTTGGGCACTCGAGTAATATCCTAGCCCAAACAAACTCAATGATTTGGGTTGTACATTTTTGGTGCTCTTTTGTACTGATGTTTATGTACCGAAATAAATAAATAACGAGGACAAACTTTTTGACGACAAAAAGCGATACATCATTAAGATTGAGTACAGGTACAAGATCCTACTAGTCATGTAAAGATACTTGGCGTTTACATGTATGTGAATAATAAATATATATCGTTTATTTACACTGTAACTAATGCCGGCAGATATGTTCTACTGAAAAGGCTTGATGTACACAAATAAGTTTTACAACAAACAATTTGGCTTACAGCAACTGCATCAAGGCTGGCTTTTAAGTTATCTGAGGATTGTGCTTGTTTATTTTGAAATTCAAAGAGACTATAGATTTGTTTATCAACCAATGTTTTTAAAAGCCCTTCAAATTTATCTTTAGCAGCTAAATAGGTTTCTTTGTTCCAAGTTTCTGACAATTCATGGCGTCTATTACGTTCATATTCATGATCCGTTTTTGAGGTAGAGATGGCTTCCATTTTATGACGATCTATTTCATACCGAAAAAGATCCCTAAAAGTAAATACTTTATGAAGAGTTAACTAACCTGACCGCTGCATACTGTAATCGATAATTATCCCACCATTTTTTACAAAGCTCATCTTCCACTGGATCAACTGGGGTAGGTTGTTTCACTTTAAAAAGTTTTCCTGTGGGAAACAATATTAATAAGATATAACACAAACCTTTTGCTTTAGGATAAATGCGAGGGTTTTTTCTAACTCGTTTGTGTCCCAAGCCAGCTAACGTTTTAGCGAAAACTGGTAGCTTCGACATTGTGTAGGACCGAGAGCTAGTGAAATCTAGGATGAATTCACACAAATATCACGTAACCTTGGTATAATTATACAACAGACTATCCAGTCGACAGTAATTTACTAAAAACATGATAATTATGATCAACAGTATGCCCGAAGATTAAGCCTAACTTCCTACGCATCGATGATTTTTAACCAACAATTATGCAGCTTTGAAAAGAGTGCTAGAATCTAGCCGTGTTAGCAGTCTATAAACAGAATAATCTACTCACTGATAATCAAACCAAATATGAATTGTACGATAGTAGGGATAGTTGATTTTCATTGGAATCTTGAAACAAGCCAAGCTACAGCACAACTGAAAATCGTGCAGTACTTCCAGGTTTTTAATGGTGCTCAAACCCTAAACAACAATACAAACATGTTCAAGATGAGATTCTCCGCCTCCAAATGCAAAATGTTGCTTCAGCATTGGCTTGCATCGACACCTGAACAAGTGATAGGGAGTGAAGCAGTTGAGCGTGTCAACTGCTTCACCTATCTTGGGAGTCTCATCAATGCTGATCGCCTGGTGACTGATAAAATCTCAGCACGAATACAGAAGGCTCGACTGGTTTTTGTCGACTTGTGTCATTTATGGCGGTGTGATATTCATCTACTAACCGAGGTATGAGTGTAACGCGCAGCAGTTCGCTCCGTCCAACTTTACGGCTGTGAGAAGTAACCAGTAAGAGTAGGAGATATTCGTAGGTTATCGGTTTTCGATCATAAATGTCTCCGAAGCATTGCTCATTTATGTTAGGACTATCGAGCATGCAATGCTGTTATTAGGAAACAGGCATTCAGTAAGGATGACAGATCAATAGATGAAGTAATGAAACTTCGTCAGTTGAGGTGGCTTGGATATATGTTACGAATGCCCAACCACTGACTGCCTCGAAGAGCATTGTTTCGTACTGTAGGCATATGTTGGAAGAGTGTTAAAGACGGCCAGACCAAAACATAGCACAAATCCGTGAAGTCACTGACAAGTAAAATGAGTCATGTTGGTGGATGTAGGCTACGTGGTTGGGGTCTGTGAGACGAAAGTAACCGATGGTTAGAGACCTTGAACGACATGGCTCATAATCGTTTGCAATGGCTCAGGTGCATTCATTCATTATGTTCTCTCAAATCCTAAGCTTCTGAACTACTCATCACCTCTATCTTTCTCCTTTTAGGTTTATTTCACTGAATTATACTTCTTGAATATCTTCGAACCCTAATCTTTATTACCGCTAATACTTCTACTCCCTCAACTACCATAGGATTTGAATTGACAATTGCATCTTTGTGCTAATATGGCATGGTAAGAGGCTAGCTACGAAATATATACTCATAGATAGCAAAGCGCAACTGCAATCTGTAACTTTTAAGACTAAGTAGTCCAGATGAGGTTTTATATGGAAATAAAGGATAAGCACCCACGCACTGTAAAAAGGATAAATCTTAAGTACACAGCAGTAAACAATTAGAAGCTACAAAAGCAATTACAAGACTCCATTACGCGGTCTATTACTACGTATTCGTGAGCTGCATCTTGTGAGTTATAGTTAGTTATCTTCTAGCAGAAAACTACATTCTTAACGACTGTATTTATTAAAAAATACTCATGAAGTCTAAAGAACACACGGTACAAAAAGCTACCTCATTAATTTCGAGATTCTCGGGAAACGTGAGAAAGCATCGTAACATTCAAAGCCAACCGCGTTTGTGAAGTCTCCCAATATCCAATATCCAATATCTTTTTCACGAGCTAGTGTAAACCAATTTGATTTCTTCGCGCTCGATTCTTGTTCTTTCGGTACGGTTCCAGGTGTTCGGTAATGTCCAATGGATGGAGGTCTAGCCACTCGACTGTCTAATTCTAGTCAGTTGGCAGTTGTTTGTGAGTTTGTATGTCTCGGGATTTGAATGAAACGTTTGTTTCAGGGCAGTAGGGTTTCTGGATACTAACAGCCGTCACATTACCAAACCGGAGATCAGTTAGTTGCAATGTGGAGAGTAATAAGAGTAATAAGGATAAATTAAAATGATAATATGAGTAAAATTTCAGAACTGAGTAATATATAGATGAATTTAGTTTATTAATTGGTAGTGAAGATTGTGAGAGAGGACCGAAGTGTAAGGAAGGGAGAGGAATAGGCGAGTTAGATTAATTAAGTGATCTGAGGAGATGGCAATGGTAACAACTAGCAGGTCTCAAGATATGCATCAGGCACAGCTTGTCCAAGAGGGAGATAATAGTCCGTATGTGAGTACGTGATTATCAAGTCTCTTCTTAAAGCAGTCCACTGAGGGGGCTGTAACTACCTCGCCTGGGAGAGCATTCCAAGTTGCGACGACTCGCAATGAGAAAAAGTGTGCACGAACCTGAGTGTTTGCTCTTTGATGTGCAATCTTTTGAGGATTGCCTCGAGGGGAGTGGTGGTGATGCATCGGCAAGATGCTCACATTGGGATGGTTTGGCGTGTTTAATATGGTGTACGCCATAATCAGGTCACCTCTGATTCTCCTGTAGCTCAGTGGGAATAATCCCAAGAGCTGGAGTCTATCGTCGTACGGTTTATTTTTCAACCCTATCACCCATTTCGTTGCTCGTCTCTGCACTCGATCCAAGAGATTAATGTCTCTTTTAAGCAGAGGGGGTGCGATGACGTTGTGAACCTCCAAGTGTGGGCGCGCGTACGTCTTAAAGAGGGTTAAAAATAATTTCGGGGTTATAGCACCAAGCACTATCCAATATCCAATATCTTTTTCACCTATTTCAACCTATTTATTTATGTGCGCTCGATTCTTGTTCTTTCGGTACGGTTCCAGGTGTTCGGTAGTGTCCAATGCATGGGGTTTAGCCACTGTCTAATTCTAGACAGTTGACGGTTGGTTGTGAGTTTGTATGTCTCGGGATTTGAATGAAAACATTTGTTTCAGGGCAGTAGGGTTTCTGGATACCACCAGCTATCACATAACCAGACCGGAGATCAGTTAGTCGCATTGTGGAGCGTATTAAGGATAATAAGGATAAAATTCTAATGGTAATATGAATAAGATTTCAGAACTAAGTAATATATTTAGTTTAGTTTATTAATTGGCAGTGAAGATTGTGAGGGAGGGCCGTAGTGTAAGCAAGGGAGAGGAAACAGAAATAACAGGCTAGATAGATTAGGTAAGTGACCTGAGGAGATAGTAATGATAACAACTAACAGGTCTCAAGATATGCATCATGAACGGCTTGTCTAAGAGGGAGATGATAATCCAATACCCAATACCTTTTTCATGAGCTAATATAAGCCAGGCGACTTCTTTGCTCTCGATTCTTGTTCTTTCGGTACGGTTACAGGTATTTATTAAGCTACAATAAGTGGCTGTATGGCCACTCGACTGCGCTAATTGCAGTCAGTTGGCAGTTGTTTGTCAGTTTGTATGTCCCGTGATTTGAACGAGCACGCTTATGAGATGGTGGGGAAAATTTGCAGCTCAGGTGGATGATTATGATGGGCTTTCGTTCTCTCAACTCAGAGAACGACTACATTTGTTTCTGGAAAGTAGTTTCTCTGCATACCAGCAGCCACCACTTTACCAGGCCGCAGATCAGTTACTTGCAATGTGGAGAATAATAAGGAGAAAAGTCTAATTCTAAGAAGAACCAGATTTCAGGACTGAGTAAATAAACGGATAAATAATTAATTAAGATTATGAGAGAGGACCGAAATACAAGCGAGGGATAGCAAACAGAAATAATAAGCCGGATATATCAAGCTAGTGATCTTGAAAGATGGAAATAAAAACAACTAGTCGAGCTCAAGGGATGCACCAGGCACATCTGGTCTATGAGGGAGATGGTGATCAGTGTGTGGGTACGTGTTTATCAATTCTCTTCCTGGAGCTGTCCACTGAGGTGTTGTGTTAACCTCAAGCTGGGAATGCATTCCAAGTTACAACGGCCAGGTGAAGTTTCGTTAAGATGCTGCACGTTGGGATGATTTGGCGTGCCTAATATGTTGTACGACATTATCAGATCACCTGTCATTCTCTTGCAACTCAGAAAGAATAATCCATAGTGCAGTATTCTATCTTCGTAAGTATTATTCTTCAACCTTATCACTCATTTCGTTGCTCGTTTCTGCACTTGATCCAAGAGATCTATGTTTCTTTCTTGGAGAGAGGATGTGAAGGCGTTGTGAACCTCAAAATGTGGGCGTTCGTATGTCATAAACAACCATAAGAATAATTCTTGGTTGATGGCACTAAGCCCGACCGTAGCTGCTACCTTGACGTGGTGGTCAGGCTTGCCTATCGTGATGACCCAACCGAGCTATACTGGCTGGAACATATGTTCCTCAAGGTTCTACCATGCCAGGCTGGTCGATTGGAGAACGACGAGACTAAAAGCAGCTACCCAAGGTCTGAGGGCGAAGTCGTACTGATGACTGTGATGGAGGGGTGTGACAGCAATAAGATGTTTCCCTCGGACAACCAGCATCTGCAGCGATTCTGCCATCTCACAAGGAAGGAAGGGTTAGAAAAGGTCGGCCCTAAAAATGTCACACCTCCCCTACCTCACGGATTTCCGTCTCCTTGGGTAAGGGTGCCCACTAAGGGCCTTTAAGAGCGTAGCTAATCCTCAAAAAACCTTTGATAAAAAGGCCGTGCGTGACCGGCCTCAAGCAGTTGTCCGTTAGACTCTGCGGTCACGCTCCCCGGTCTCCAATACCAACACTAATCTATCTTCCTTTTCTGGTCCCTCAAGAAACAACCTTCCACGGCATGGGCAGCCGGGAAGTGACAACCGCCCTCATACCCGTAACAGCACGAGAGACCAAAGTGGTCGAAATCAAATCCTTCCTACACCCACACATACCTCTCTTCCCTCCATAACTAACTCTACTCACATTCCCTTATTTGACTGCACAGCAAATGCAAAACGATGTGAGTTCACGAAACGTCATTCCTGGTCTGTTGAAACCTCGTTCTAGTCTACATGTTGGAGCATTTAATGTACGGACATTGTGTCAAATAGGGCAACAGGCATCATCAGTTAGGACTTTAGTGTTACGGGAGAAATTAAGACATTTGGCTGATTATAACAGTTATATAAATATCAATAATTTCACTGTGTTTTTTGTTGTTATTCTTTGTGTTCTCTCAAATCCTAATTTTCTGGATTCTTAAACACCTCTAGTTTTGACTTTCTATTTTTTTCTTGTTTAATCATACTTCTTGAATAATATCTTCTAATCTTAACCTCTTCGATCACTTCTAATACCTTAACTACCTCTTCTACTACTGGATTTGAATTGACAATTACATCTCTGTGCTGATGTGGTATGGCGATATGAACTGGTGTACTTACGTACGAAGTTCTACGTTGCATCTGATTGTCTGAATGACTGTTGGCGCTAAGTTATGCTCGCATGAAAAGAAGTTGCTTTAGTCGTGGCTTCATCTTCTATGTAGTAAGAGGCTGTGTCCAGGCTCTTTGTGATTATTTGACCCAGCTAGCGCTTTAAAGAGACAATCAATTCAGAATTAGACAGGTTTTTATTGTTTGGGACCTGCGTTTTCGTACGTGAGGAGCGCGCTTGGTTACTGAATGAAATGATTATTGTAATGCATTTTCCACAAACTGAAAAACAGAACGATTGACAAAAACTACTATAGCATTTTCCCTCTCTGAGTTAAATTTATAGTTCTGGTTGCTATTGCTCATCAAAACTACCTTTATTCACTGTGACCGAAATGATTTCAGTTAAACTAATATCTGTATGTTGTGGAATCTAGTAGGTTTTCTTTGCTTTCTGAACTTTTGCCCTAGTTATCGTTCGAAAATAGTATGAAATGTAATAAGTGCAAGTGTGATATCACTAAGTTTGCACACATCTGACACCTGCAGTTTTCAAACGGTTCATCGTAAGGAATTTGTTTGACTCTGCCATCGATACCGTTTGGATTCAAGAGCTTGCTATCCAATGTGATCTTTATGGTGACAACTGCTAAACAGCAGATTAACAAGCGACCTGGATATAGTTTACGTGACGCGTGCTTTGGTAACATAGGCATAGGTTTACTGGTATCTTATTCCAGCACGTGGTCGAATGGTTTATATGGGTCAAAGGAGAAAAAAACAGATATAGAACAGGTCTGTGAGAAACTAGAACTGGAAAAAGGTTTTTTCAGTGCCCCATCCTGTAAAAAATGTAGGATTTAATTCGTCCTACAGATGTAATTCTAGAACAGTAAACGCAATATTGGCGAGCAATGAGTCTATGGGAAAGCTATAGTCAGAACAAGACCAATTTTGCTTTAAACTTTATCTATTTCTAGACACAGAAACAATTAGATTAGTACAATAAATAAGGAAATTACAGTTACCAATTGAAACGATCAAACATACCGACTAATATAGCGTGTCTTCGGGAATGAATAAAACTGAATCACATCAATATGATAAGATAATAATTTCCTTCAATTAGTAGGTCATTTACCACAAAGAAAGTTTAAAAACACGTCAGATCAGATCACGTGATGGGCGCTTAAACCACAATTTTATTGGTTAGTTATGACATAACTACAATTAGAAATGGAAAGAAATAACAAGAAACAGCACCTGAAAAATGCCTGAGGTCCTTTTCGAGCAAAATTAGAGCTCTAACCACCCAAACCACCCGAAATCCCTCAGGACCTCACAGTGTTCG